GGACATTTAAAAGCTAGAAAACCAAATCACGGTAAATTATAATTTACCACTGTTCTTGAGTTAACCAATCAGAACTAGGATAACACCTTATGTGTTTCACGCGAAATTTAAAGTACGGCGATAGATAACCTGTATGTCCTCATTGACGAAGTGTAAATTTGCAAAGTATGGTTGTTAAAATGCTTGAAATCAATAGAAACCTCTATTTTAAAATTGAAAAGTGGATTTAAGATGGTGTTTAAGCTGAATTACCAAACATAATTACTTTCAAGGCAAATCGTTTGAGTTATCGAGAATTACGTGAAGCTGGCTAATGTTGTCTATCACTTTCTGAATCTCACTCTAAATCTCAACCATAAGTCTCTTAAGTTGGTAGACAGTAGAATTACAGAGCTCGGTATCATAGCTGATGTCAATTCGTAACGAAGATTCTAGTCTAAATTTGAAAGACCAAACTCAGAACTCAGACTTAAGTTTTAAAAACCTGGCAATAAACTTCCAGCAACGCAGCTAGCTTCGGACTGGTGATGGCAACTCTGTGGGAGTGGTTACCTTAATGCATAACACTAGCCTTAATTTTAATAACTGAAATTAACTTTTTCCCTCCATTGCACGGAATAATTGATCATTCAAGGATTGACTATAGAGAGAAAATCTATTACTCCACTGATATTTTATGACTTTTAGCTGTTGATTTTTTACGACTGGACAGCGTTTTCTGATTAGCTGACAGGTCGTCCAAGATCTTCAGTATAATATAGTTTTACCCGGATTTTGATATGTGTAAACAAATTTCACTAGTGACAACACTCTAAAACGTTTGACATCTGTAGTAAAAAGCAGAGAGTAATCTGTAAACTATGAACAATCTACTCCTAGACATAGTGCTAATGTTAAAAAAATTTCACTTTAAAATTTGTGACCACTGTGTGAAAATGGATTCAAAACAATGACTGAACAGGCTTTTGTGGAGTGATGGTCAACCTGCTGATTATAATACTAGTTAGCAAGTCAGAAATTGTCCTTTTAGAAGCAAACTTACACAATATAACCTCCGATTTGTGGAATTAAGACACGATGAAAAATAAGCAAAAATCATTGTTGAATGATCCCTTTAAAGTAGAGCTTATCATCTACTTCAGAATCGTGAAACTTTCCTCATATCCTCACTTTTCTTTAGGGAATCTACGATATTAAGTGATAAAATGAGTTTAATAGGTTCTAAACAAAAAAGAAAATCCTTTAAACTGTCCAGAATTACATTCTGCCACCTTCTAACTCTACCTTATTTTGATTGGGCTACATTTACCCGCGTGTTTATTTTACATATGATATGACTAACTATTAGATGTCTAACAGCTCAATTCTATATATTACTGGTCTATCTGAATCTTATTAAGCGCATGATCTACACTTCCTAATTTCAGTGTTGGATAATATTTTTCGCTGAAGGTTTTTTCCTTACTTTAAACTTGAGTTTCACTGTGTAGAGCTCAATTACCAGTGGTCTAACATTTATTAGATTTGAGAACTACTTCTCACTAAGATTCACTAAAACATTTTTAAACTTCCGCTTGCTCTAATGGAAGACTTGAAACAGTCGGAATCTGGCCACGAGGAACACTGGCAATTCTAAAATAACAGACGTTCCTTCCTATATATTTCCTATCACTACCATTCTTCAGGCTTGTTTTATTATCCTACGATTAATATGGTCGTATCGATTGTTGCCTTATCTTTTCCCTGATAGTCCGTGAGAGCCTGTGTCAATCCTTATTTTTTCTTGTCAACATAAATTCTTCTTGAAAACTCGTCCGGTGCAAAGTTGTCTAGATTTGTTCCCACAGTCTATAAGCTTAAACTTACTAATATGGTTATAACGTCATATGTAAGACAGTTGCTTTTTTAATAGTGTTCAAAACACTTAATTTGAACAGTGAAAAAGTTACAGTCAAATCATCACCAACACTCAGTAAATTTATCTTATCCTACAACAGTCTTTTAGTGGTTGGCAATTGTCTAAAACCGTATAACAGCCAAAGGATTAATCTGAGAGCATACATATCCTAATCGAAGTTGATGTTCTAAAACTACTAGAATATTTAGAAATATTAATACTTATTCTCAAATAACAATGAGTTACATGAGGCAGACCAGTTTACAGGCAAGATCCGACTGCTGCAAATTCCATTCCATATACTGTAATGGGTTGCTCACTTAGGACAATAATAGCGATATCATCTTTCTGACGTGCAGGTTCACGTTATTTTACAGACATGATCAGTTTGATACAAAGACATTCCAAACACGTGACTACATACAGGACAAGTTCGGGGAAACTATGCCCACTATTCTTGTAGCAATGTTTTTGACCAAATAAAAAGTTTGAAAACCCCTTCAAAAAATCATTTATAGGGTACTGGTGTTTGATTATTTTTCCTCGGTTTTGTTAACGGTAACTTTAATCTGTGATTCGAGTAATCGTATCTTTATACTTTCCAGCCTTCTCTGATTAAATATTTTTCATTTCACACCAATTAGGATTCACCTCTCTCATTTCATTTTGCTGTTTTACGTTACTACACCGTCGACAAACAGATTATATCTTAAAGTGATCGATTGTAGTTGTGTTTTGCTATCTGCTGGAAATACCTATATCTTGGTTTCATTCACAAAGAAAGACAGGATTTTCTTTGTCGAGTATGTACTTGCTGATTCAAAAGCACTTCACAGATAAACCACAGATAAACACTAATTTGTGGTGGATACATTTTCAGCTGGATAGCCAATAACAGCAAAAACTGAAATATTTTACAGTTTTTGATAAGTTTTGTTTTCGAGAGACAAAATTCCTACAGATTCTGAAAAATTGAAATCAGTGATTGTGTGTGACTCATACTGCGCAAAAGAATTCTGTATTTCGACATATACAAATAAGCCCCTTCCTTTCGTGTTATTTTATTAATTCAAACTAAAAATATCTTAAAATTGTCCATTGTTTCGTATGCTTCTATCCATCGTGTACGACGATCCAGCGGTATCATCAAAGTTTTGTTGGTTATTCGTGAGGAATTTGCCTGCTTAAATAGGGAAATTTTTGACGGTTATTCTCGACTTCTAGCAGGTCACATTTGAAATATGAGGTTCGGCCGGCCGGCTCTTGATCCAAGTACGAAGTTAGCATATAAGAAGAGGTTTAAACGTCGAATAACCAACTTTGTGAGATATCAGACTGACTTATTGTTTGAGGACACACTGAGACACCTCAACCTATTCTTATCATCTTACTGCAGGTAACAAGGTGATTTATTACTTGCCTATCGTGTACAGAACGATGGCTCTGGCAAGAATACGATTTGGTTTTTACCTCCATCTTGGGAGGGTCATTAAAGAAGACAACCAAAAGACAGTTCAAAAATCAAGATCAGATCGTTTACAGTCCGAATTTCGTTTCTTATATCAAATCACGAATTACTGGAACTCTCTTGCATAACCCATAATATCAATACCTCATCTTGATACATTCTTCGCGTGATTGGATCTTCACAGTTCTTATGTCAGAGATCACATCACTGGACAATCAAACACATCAGAAGAGCATCATAAGTGGTATGTCAAAGGTTTCCAGCTGTATAATAAACCATATACATGGTTTTTTGGAAGTATGAACTATATGTCGTAGCCCACTTTGCCTTCCTGACTACCCGATTCTACGTCCCATCTTTACTTAGAGTCAGGTTGATTGTCGTCACATCTTTGGAGACTTTAATGCGCCATATATCTATTAGATGAAACTTGCAACTTGAGGTGAAAGCATACTCTAAACTATCATTCGATATAAACTTGTGCAAGGGATCTCGAAACCGCAACATGTTGATTTGGAACGTGAAGCACCATCCACTGACTTTGTTTTTACTCACTGCAGTGATGATATAATTGATATCCAATAATACCTACACTATCCGATTGCGACCGTGTAGTAATGTAATCGAAGTTTCAGACATAATTTATTTGTTGTATCTGCTCCATCACCACCCAATATATAGCTAGCAAACCTATGGGTTTCCAGTGGCTGTGCAGTTTCAAAAGAATGATTGGTTGGAGACGAATAATACTAGTTTAGAGTTTCATTCATTTTTTTTCACACCCATCTTCATACTATTTTCTAGACTTAAGCTCTCACATTGCCATCTATAGGTCAAGAAAGAAACCTGAATCTTGCCACTCTTTGAGAAAACTTACCCGGCTTATTGTAGCGACTATCAGTGAAACATATAAGTGTGAATATCCGAGAATCCGAAATGAATGTAAAAAGAACATGATAAGAAAAGGTGTCTGTCAACATAATATTCATATATTTCTGCGAAACATCTGATGAAATTTGTCACTTGGGGCATCTACCGAATCTCTGCAGCTCTATAAAATTAGAGGTAGTACATGAGTGGGTGGAAAACTTCTTCCGAGGACGAAGACATAGTGTGAGATTGAATGGGACACTATCATAATTTTGAACTCTCCTTACCATATGCGCTTAAAATGGATTAACATTTTGTCCTCTACTTAGCACAGAAAGCAGGGTAATCCTCTGCTTGCTTAACCATCCAAGCGTAAATAAGTTTTTTTTTTGACCCATCCAGAATTAAACACCCACGAACCGACCGAAAGAAGCTTGAAAAAGCTTTTTGCAAGTAAGCTCAGAATGGGATTTCATTTTACTCATCGAAAGATCCGTGATTATAACGCTTTACCCGAACTGTTGGTATCGGCTCCACCAGTGTACGCATTCAAATGATTGCTGGATCTCCATTGAAAACTAATCTACAAGGGTTAAAAAAGGTCGATGGACATACTATTTTCATCGATTATTTTCATCAATACCTAAAAAAGTGAACTGAAGAGATTAATACAGATGGATTGACCTGTTGTCCTCCTACTTAGGAATGAACTCATTGAAAATTGAGTGATGTTTAGCGGATATTTGGAGTACAGCGTAACTTGAGATGAAGGTTGTTTTTTAGCACGAATACTAGCTGATCATATCTTTTTATCCATCTGTCAAAAAATCCGCATCTACTTTTTACTAAAGCGTTGTTGTTATATTTCCGTGTTCATTTGTCTGCGGCATAGTCTGGTTCTGCAATTCATATAACGTCCTAGAGTTATCCATTCTTCACAAATAATCTTAGATTTTGTGTCCTTTATCATCATATCGTGTACACCGCTTTTCGGATGATAGGATTTTTTATCCATCTCAAGTATCATGGAAAATAAACTCCGATTTCCTCTTACAGTGAACTACACAATGAAGCTCAAGCAATCTTTCACTCTGCGTACAATGTCGCATAATAATCTATGGTGTTTTGTTTTTATTTTGGTTGGCTCTATTCGAAGACCGTCAATATACTGCATTTTTACTTATGGGAAGAAAATTTCAAACAATCACAAACACCTTACAGTATTTAACATACTTTAGTTGTATTGTTACATTCGTTCATCGAGATAGAATTACACTTAATAACTATGATTTCCAAACTAGGGCCGGTGTCGAGTTACCGCTGTATCTAGTGTCGTAATTTACGTTATACTATAGGTTCAGACAGATTTTATTGCCATAGGGCTTGAATAATCTACGATGGGTTGATTAGGTCTTTGTTATAGTCCACATCAACGAAATTGCTGCTTTCTGAAGCAGGCCATACATTGAAGCTTCGATACTCAATCTGCCGAACAATTCAAAGCTTTACCACTGGTATTTGATGAACAAAATAAGCTATATATATTTGTTATATTTAATCATCACATAAGGAGCTAGTTAGAACAAAATCCTAAGTTAGTTACATGTTCCTTAATATCCTCTGTTTACTTTTCAGGATGCCAAACCTTATCCAGTTGATCCATCTTATGCTGACCCACCAGTCGCTGAAAAAGACTATTCAACATGGGGAATAGTCAAAGCTGTTCAGTATGGAATTATGGAACGAGTTGTTGAATTGGTAGAACCATCAGATACTCAACTAACAGGTTATGATGTTAATCAACTGGATGAAGAAGACGTTTCACTGTTACATTGGGCTGCTATAAACAATCGTCTAGCTATTGCTCGTTATCTTTTATCAAAAGGTGCTATAATAGATAGACCAGGCGGTCATCTTGCTGCAACCCCATTGCACTGGGCTATTAGGCAGTCACACTTAAGTATGGTACATTTCCTGATGCAGAGAGGTGCTGATCCAACGTTTATGGATAATACTGGTCTAGGATGTTTTCATGTTGCAATACAAATGGGAAATATTCCAATTATCGTTTATCTGCTTGCTCATGGAATTAACGTAGATGCGTAAGTACTTGTGCAGACATAATTATGATTACCAAGTATTTTAACACATGATTAATTAATCTCATCTTGTACTGATTCGATGTGTGAACTTGGTTAACGGATGTTTGTGCCCAACTTTAAGCTGATGAGGTTTTTTCTTTTCTGGTTTTTAAATACTGAGCCTCATGTTTGTTTAATGATTAATATACACTTGATATCCGTATTTCATTCGTTTAGCCACCAGACTTTGAACTGTTCATGTTTTACACTAGGATCGTGCATTATTTTGGCTTCGGAAGTTGTATAGTACTTTCATAACAGTCACCATAGATATGATTTAAAACCTAGTACTTGTTTAGGCCTTCTATATGGTTACCAGAAGTTACATGAAGATGACTGAGGTTGTCGGTTGAATAATAACATGTTGATGAAGATAAATTTTTGTGAGGTCAATAAAATTAGGTTTTTAGGGTCATTGTAGCCTTTAAAATATGTAATCTGTCATTTAGTAATTGAAATTCACTTCCTTAACTAAAATCGCAATCACCGTCCGGGGTTTTAAGGACATCATCATAATGTTCATGGGATATTCTTTATAATTCTATGGCTTCTCTATCGTATCATCATAAAAAATAATTGTAGCTTTATTGAAACATTAAAATCTCAAGGTCTTCTGAATGCTTTCTTTTAGAGACTGAAAACAAATCTTATCACAAATGATATAACTAACTGTTTAGTGTTAATTTTTTAAAGTCATTGATTGGGTTTTTATTCAATTCATCATCATCATCATCATCAGCTCCGCTCTTGAAAGCCCTTAGTGGGCACCCTTACCGACGGAGACGGAAATCTATGAGGTAAGGTGAGGTATGACATTTTTAGGGTCGACCTTTTCTAACCCTTCCTTGCTTGTGAGACGTCAGCAACATCGCTGCAGATGCTGGTTGTCCGAGGGAAACACTTTACTACTGTCACACCCCTCCATCACAGTCAGCAGTACGACTTCGCCCTCAGACCTTGGGTAGTTGCTTTTAGTCTCATCGTTCTTCAATCGACCTGCCTGGCATGGTAGAACCTTCAGGAACATAAGTTCCAGCCAATATAGCTCGGTTGGGTCATCACGATAGGCAAACCCGACCACCATGTCAAGGTAGCAGCTTCGGTCGGGAAATTCATCTATGGTTTTTAATGACACCGGTAATAATTATAACTTTCACTTTTCAACATTTTTAGTCGTGATGGCAATGGACTTACTCCATTAATGGTAGCATGTATGCATATACGATCAGTTGATGTGTTTCGTCTGTTAATTTCATATGGTGCAAATTTACGATTAACTGATTCACATGATAATACTGTTGCACATTATTCAGTTCAATTTGCAAATTTTCAAGCTGTCTTACAATTGGACAAAGGCGGTGTTGATTGGAATGCATTAAATAATGAAGGCAAAACACCATATGAAGTAGGTTTATCTTTCTTCATTAGTCTGTGCATTTTGATTTTAAGGCTACGATTTTAATAATTGATATTTTGAAGCTTGGAGCGATAACTTTTACAGTCATGATTAAAAACTGTTCAGTTTAGTAAACGTCAACATAAGCCAGGTTTTAGGATTGATTTTAAACGTTCATTCATTATTGTGCTGGCTCCTGAAGTTGACATTTCGATTGAAATACAGGGTAAGCTGAAAGAAACTCTAGAATGTCCCTATTTAGTAGGATTGATTAGTTCCGAAAAACGTCAGGAGTTGTAACTATAGTAAGAGTGTATGTGGTTAAACTAGTGTGTAATTTTACACTGGAACGTATTTATTAGATCACAAGATTGTTATCCAAAATAGAGCCTATTTTTGAAATAATCATATAAGTAGAACACTGAGTTATGATAAGTAACTGTTGTTCGTTATTGCTAAAGGAGGAGTAGGTTGTAAGAAAGTTAGGGGCGGACAAACCAAAACATGGCACAAATCCATGAAGTCACTGACAACTGAAGTAAGTCATATTGGTAAGTGTCGACTACGTGGTTGGGGTCCGCGAGATGATAGTAATCGATGGTTAGATATCCTGAATGACATGACTCAAAATCGTTTGCAATGGCGCTGGTGCATCCACTTTTTGTGTTCTCCCAAATCGTTATTTGAATTCTTCACCACCTTCATCTTTCTCTTCTCAAATTTATCTCAGTAGATTATACTTCTTGAATAACATTTTCGAACCTCAATCTCTTCGATTACTGCTCATACTCCTACTATCTCTACCACTATGGGATTTAAATTGACAATTGAGTCTCTGTGCTAATATGTTATGACAACTTGAACTCAGTCAGTTACAACGTAGAACTTCGCCCTTCAGTACATAGATTCAAGTTGCCATACCACATTAGCACTGAGACGCGATCGTCAGTTGAAATCTCATAGTGGTAGAGGTAGTAGAAGTATGAGCAGTAATCAGAAAGATAAGGGTTCGAAGATATTATTCAAGAAGTATAATTCAGTGAAACAAATATAGAAATAACACATTACGCTCAGAAATAGAGACGCACATGAGTAGAATGAACAAAAGTTGGACAGAACTGGAAAGGAAGTCCCAGGACAGGGTAGGTTGGGTAATACTGGTCGGTGGCCTTATGCTCCAATGGGTCAATAGGCTCTCTACTTATATATATATATCAGAATTTAAATCAATTTTCCTACTTTAATTGTCTTATCAATATATTTACATATATGTTGTTTTATTTTTCAAGGTTCGTATAGTACCATGGTTAACAGATCGTGTGAAACAAATGGCTACAATACAAAGTATGACTAATTCATCCGATCGTTTTTCACGTTTAGGCTTATCCATGCTACATTATTCACCGGTATGGCGTCAACGTATCACTATTCTATTGCCACCATTTATTCTTATCCTATGTGGTCTAATCATTAGTTGGGATATTCCATTGATATTGCATCATTACAATGTTGTGCATCAATTAACAACTATTTCATCATGGATCATATATTTGGTGAAATTTATTTTATTAGTCTTATTATCAACAGTAGCACGTTTTATTATTGATCGATTCTCAGATCATAAATTACAGGTAAGTTGTGTGTGTGTGTGTGTGTGTGTGTGTGTGTGAGTACTTTTCAACTTTCCCTCACGGTACTTGTTTGCTATCGGACTCGTGTAAGTATTTAGCCGTGGATAGAGTCTACCATCCACTTTGGGCTGCATTCACAAACAACCCGACTCTAAGGGGAGCTCTGAGCAGAACTGTCACACTTGGTCTCTACCACCTCACGGGCCTTTCACCCTCTATGGGCCAGAATGGGAAGCCATACTCATTGCTGGACTTGGGAAAGAGCAGTAATGCCAGAAGCCAACCTAAACACCACATTGCCTCACGATCAAACAACCGTAGGCTTCGGTGTTGTGCTAATCCCTGTTCACTCTCAGTTACTGATAGAATCCTTGTTAGTTTCCTTTTCTCCGCTTAGTGATATGATTAAGTTCAGTGGGTAACCAAAACATGGCAGAAATCCATGAAGTCATTGACAAGTGGACTGAGCCATGTCGGTAGTTGTCGACTACCTGGTTGGGGTCCGCGAGATGATAATAATCGATGGTTAGAGACCCTGAATGACATGGCTCAAAACCGTTTGCAATGGCGTTGGTGCATTTATTCTTTATGTTCTCTCAAATCCTAATCTTCTGAATTCTTCAACCCCTCTAGTTTTGACTTTCTAAACTTTTCTCACTGAATCGTACTTCTTGAATAATATCTTCTAATTACTAACCTCTCCGATTACTTCTAATACTTTTACTACCTCTACTACTATTGGATTTGAATTGACAATTACATCTCTGTGCTGATGTGGTATTGCAACATGAACTGATGTACTTACGTACGTACGAAGTTCTACGTTGCATCTGACTGACTGACTGTGTGTGTATGAGGGAATACATGCTAGTAGGCAGAGAGAGAGAGAGAGAATGTGCGCATATCTTATCCTTTTTTTTCAGTTTTTACCTATATGTCGTTTGCAATGGTGCCAGAGGCATCCATTCTTTGTGTTCCTCTAAAATTGTCATCTCTTGAATTCTTGGTCACTTTTGTCTTTTTCTCATCAAATTTATTTCACTGGATTATACTCCTAGAATCATAATATCTTCCAACCCTAATACATCTACTACTATGGGATTCGAATTGACAGTTGCATCTCTGTGTGCTGCGCTAAGGTGGTATATGTCAAGTTTAACTGATATGTCTATGCATAAAGTTCTACGTTGTGGCTGATTGACTGATGCCTAAATATCTTACATTGGTTTTTTATTGTATTCCTATGAAATAATACTAATGAACTTGGTGAGGTGATTGTGGTAGTGATGGTTGGTCTACTTTTTTGTTGTTGTTCTAGTTCGCTGTGGTCACTTAGACAACTACTGCGGTTCTCACCCTCGAAATGCAAAATGTTGCTTCAAGACTGGGTTGCATCGGCACCTGAACTAGTGATAGGGAGTGAAGTAGTCGAGCGTGTTGATTGCTTCACTTATCTGGAGAGTCTCATCAGCGCTGATAGCCTGGTGACTGACGAAATTTCAGCGCCGGATACAGAAAGCTCGATTGGTTTTTGCCAACCTCCATCACTTATGATGTAGGCGTGATATCCGTTCGCTAACCAAAGGACGGGTGTGCTGCGCAGCAGTTCGTTCCGTTCTCCTATATGGATGTGAAACATGGCCGTTAAGAGTAGAAGATTTTCGTAAGTTACTAGTATTCGATCATAGATGTTTAAGAAGCATTGTTCGTATATTGTGGGACAACCGAGTAAGCAATGCTGTCGTTAGGAAACGAGTACTAGGTAAAGATGGCAGATCAATAGATGAAGTAGTGAAACTTCATCAGTTGAGGTGGTTGGGACATGTGTTACGTATGGCTAACCACCGACTGCCTCGACGAGCTATGTTTTGTAGTGTAGGAGTAGATTGGAAGAAAGCTAGGTTCGGCCAAACCAAAACATGGCAGAAATCCATGAAGTCACTGACTAGTCCTAATCTTCTGGATTCGTCAGCACTTTCTCTACCTTTGTCTTTGTAACCTTATCTCACTGAATTATACTTCTTGAATAATATCCGGAAACCCTAGTCCTCTTGATTACCATTAATAGCTCAACTATGTTTATCACTATGGGATTTGATTTGACATTAGTGTCTCTATGTGCTAATGTGGTATGGCAACATGAACTTATGAACCTACGTACTAAGTTCTACGTTGCAACTGTCTGACTGACTGATCGTAGAATGGGATATACGACTAGACACAGATGATTGAATACTAGTAACGTACAAATATCTTCACTTCTTAATAGTGATCATGTCTGAGGTTTTGTTTTATTACCAAATATCCTCTGTAAAAAATTAATCACTCACAATATATTTATAAACAATTTTTTTAATACAAAGAATCACATATATTATAAGTAGTATGTATATTCATTTTTTTCTTTCTTTAACTAGGCTTTAATGTTATTCAGTTTAGCAACAAGTACAACATTATTATTAACTACAACTTATTTATTTCATATAACATTATATACAACGAATCATTGGTTGTTACATTTCTGGTTTCTATTCTTTATCACTATGTTATGGACTACATTTATTATATGTTGTACAAAAAATCCTGGTTATGTCAATGACACAACAGTGAAACATCATGGTCAACATCAGCCGCAACAACAACAACACGATACACCCATTGCTTCACTACTTGATGAAGTATTAACTCATGCGAATGATTTAATCTTAGACAATAATAATCAAGAACAATCACCGCCGTTATCATCATCCACATTGACTACTAATCCATTACAACGTTTCTGTACAACATGTTTTATTCGTAAACCATTACGATCGAAGCATTGTTCTACATGTGATCGTTGTGTAGCACGTTTCGACCATCATTGTCCATGGATTTATAATTGTGTTGGCATGGATAATCATTTCTATTTTATTGTATATTTATTTGCTACAAGTGTGTCGTGTTATTTATTTATCTTTGGTACAATATGTTACTGGCAAAATGAATTTAATTGTTTGTTGAATAGACGTACACCGATTGAGAAAAATGGTATGTTGATGAATGCTGTTTTTTTTTTTCGCTTTATGAATATATATACGTGTTCTATGCTTGTTTAACAATGTACATTGGAGTAGGAAAGTTTCACGACTGCCGAACTATGCAATGATATATCGGTCTATGAAGAAGCTGTTTAATTATTGTTGATCTAAGCTACCCAATTCATGACCAGCTTCTGGAGGTTTACCCAAGAGGTACAGCCAGTCAGTCAGATGCACGTAGATTATTATCATCTCGCGGACCCCAACCAGGTAGTCGACAATTACCGACATGGCTAAGTCCACTCGTCAATGACTTCATGGATTTGTGCCATGTCTGACCGTCCCTAACTTTCTTCCAACCTATTCCTACACTACAAAACAAAGCTCGACGAGGCAGTCGGTGGCTAGGCATACGTAACACATGTCCTAACCACCTCAACTGATGAAGTTTCATTACTTCATCTATTGATCCGCCATTCTTACCTAGCACCCGTTTTCTAATAACAGAGTTGTTCACTCGGGTGTCCCAGGATATACGAGCAATGCTTCGAAGACAGCTATGATCGAAAACCAATAACCTACGAATATCTTCTACTCTCACTGGCCATGTTTCACAGCCATAAAGTAAGACGGAGCGAACTACTGCTCAGTACACTCGTCCTTTCGTCAGCAAACGGATATCTCGCCTACGCCATAAGTGACGCAGGTTGGCAAAAGCCAATCGAGCCTTCTGTATCCGTGCTGAGATTTCGTCAGTCACCAGGCTATCAGCACTGATGAGACTCCTCAGATAAATGAAGCGGTCTACACGTTCTACTACTTCATTCCCTATCACTAGATCAGGTGCCGATGCAACCCAATCTTGAAGCAACATTTTGCATTTCGAGTATGAGAACCGCATCCCGAACATGCTTGCATTGTTGTTTAGGGTGGTTAGAAGACTCTGCATTTTGTCAGCGTCTTCACCAAGTAGGACAATGTCATCGGCATATTCTAAATCAATAAGCGAGCCACCTGGTAGAAGGTCTACTCCAGAAAATTCAGACGAGGATAAGGTTATTTCTAGTAGCATGTCTATGATAAAATTAAACAAGAATGGAGAAAGTGGACATCCCTGACGGACACCACTTGATGTAGAGAATTCCGATGACAGTTCGCCATAAGCCCTCACTCGACCAGTGGTGTTCGAGTAGAGAGGTACAACTCCTCCTGGAGCCACTCTGGGGCTATCACCAGTCCCGATCCGGGATGAAGAAGGAGAGTTTGGCGTGGGGTAAGCGACCCTATCCGGTAGGAAGCTAACTTGCTGAAATAACGACGCTAACCAAAGAGGTACATTAATCTTTAGAACTGTAGTGAATTATCATCAGAATTAATTACTTCAAGGGGTATTTGTCAGGGTTATCAGCTTATATCATTTTTATTTAGGTTTTTTTATAGACATCCCTTTAGGGATAACGCTGTTGTCGTCTGACTTTTTAGGCATTGATCTACCACGAAATTCACTCGCTGACTTAAATTACTCAGATAATATAATTCTGTTTGGTGGAGATGCTGACAAAACGCAGTCTTCTGACCACTTTGAGTGACAATGCAAGTATGTTTAGTATACGATTCGATTCTTCTAAATGCGAAATTTCGTTCCAAGATTAGCTTGCGTCAGTTCGTGAACTAGTAATCAGTAATGAAGTAGCTGAGCGTGTTAACCACTTCATTTATTTTGAGAGTTTCATTAGTCCTGTTAGTCTCTTGTTTGAAAAAATCTCGAAATGACCAGGCTGGCGTTTGCCAACTTCCGTCACTTGTGGCGTAAATGAGGTAGGTATTCATTTGTATAATAAAGGACAAGTTTATTGCCTGAAAGTTTACTTCGTCCCACCACATGACTGTGAAACATGACCTTTGAAAATATTGGTTTTCGGTCATAGACTTAAAACTTTGATAAAGATTGATAACGAATTCAATCGTGTCACTTCAATCGATTTTCAGCCATGTTATCCAGTGTTATCAACCGTTGATCACACTTACCTTACAGATCCAAAAATCAATTGTTCTACGATTCTTTATACTCCTTAGTAGTCCTAAAGTTAAGAATCTCATTGGTTAATACCTACCGTCTGTAATCTTCCCATCGTCTAGTAAATAAACCTATACGCAGGATCACTGAGCTGGTCGATAGTGTTGTGGATACTACTGACAAAGTTGCATACAAATAGTATGCAGCGGAGCCGTCGCCTAGAAATCGCTACCAGACAAGTGTCAGGCGATCAAAACTCATGGCGTGATCTGAATATTTTGAAAACGAGGAGAGAATTGAGCGAAGACAGTCTATAACTACCTTGAATTACCAATAAGAGATTGGAAACTGTGATTATATATGTCACAAAACAAACGTTCCTTCCAGTCTTGATTTCTTCATATATTTCACTGTTACGGGTATGAGGGCGGATGTCATTTCCCAACTACCCACGAGGAGCCTGGAAGAGAAATCGGATTAGTGTTTGTCGTAGCCACCTGGGAGCATGATTGCAGAACCAAAGGGACAATTGCTTGAGACCGTCCTCCCACAGCTGTTAGCTCTGTTCTTCTAAAGACCTTACCGCCAAAGATGGAAGTCTGTGGGGTAAGCTGAGTTGTGACTTCTTTTGTGAGAAGGCAGCATCACTGTAGATGCTGGTTGTCCGACGGAGACACCTTACTGCTTTCACATCCTTCTACAGTCAGAGGTTAGCCTTCGCTCTCATACCTTAAGTTGCTTCTTTTGGTGTTACTGTTCTTCACTCAACCTGTCTAGTATGCTGAAAACTACAGGAACATATATTCCAGCCAATATAGCTCCGTCGGGTTATCACGATAGGCAAGCCTGAACACCACGTCAACGTATCAGCTACGGTCGGGCATGTTACTATACTTGATCAGTTATCAATCCATTTCAAAAGCCTTTCATAATAATAATAATAATAATAATAATAATCGTAATACCATTAAATTTCTTTCCCGTTATTTTATTCACTTTCAAAAAATCACAGATCTATTAACAACCATCTGGTCATATTTATCATGTAATCCATGGGTGACATTTTGTTTTATCAATGCAATTTTTTATTCATTTTGGACAACTTTATTATTTGGTTCACAATTATATCAAATGGTTTGGTTAAATGCTACAACTAATGAACGTATTAACATGGATCGATATGTTGAATTTAACATGAACACTCATAATAATAATAGTAATACTAATCCATCTTTATCCAATGAAAAATTCATATCACCACCTAGTAAATATGATCGTCCATATGATCATGGAATGTGGCGTAATCTATTGGATTTAATCGGTTTACCAGGTTTTATTCGTCATTCAAATAAACCGGTGGATTGGCGACAAATTTATCAAATTGAACAATTGAACGTTCAAAGTTCAATATATAATAATAATACTGATAATGATATAAATAAGAAATTATTACACGATTGGTCAATCTAATTCTTGTTTAATGCATATTCACTTGAGGTGAGGTGAGGTGTTGGTTGTACATAGAAGTACAAAAATTTACTACTGCTCACATGATGATTCCGGTTCGTTTGTCTTGTTTGCTTGTTTTTTTCTCTGGCAGTTTGACAATATAATTTGTTACTGTGATAAACTGTTTTGGTCCATCGATGAAAACTTTTCTGTTCATAGTTTTTTTTCTTACTGGTTTTCAAACATTTTTTTTACACTACCTTCTTTTCTTGTCTCATTATCCCACTGGGTCTATTTGTGTATTAAAAATCTGATCTGTGCCAGACAGAGATATTCAGTGCAGAACAAAAATAACAACAGAGTTACTGTCATTTACTAACATACCTCCACCTCACACTGCCGACATTGCCCATGTAATTATTTTTGAACTGCTGATGTAAAAAAAAAACAGATTGTCTTGCTGAAATTTTCTCTGTGTAAACAAATTTTTTTTTGATTTTGACCAAGACAACTCTTCTTCATTGTACTGTGTTATACCTTGAGTGTGTGCGTGTGTGTGCGGATGTGGACGTGTTTATCTCTTCTATGACTGTTTGGTTTCTTCGATCGCACACAAAACATTCTTCTTCTTCTTCTTCTTCCTGTTTGTTCCTTGCATTTTCCCGTTTCCTCTCAATAGGTTATTCCTTCATACTACTACTACACATGATGTACACGAATTGATTGTACTAGGTTTATTCTGTTCTATTTATCTTTTGATCTCTTGAGCTATCCAATGAGTAATCTACATATTTTTACCTGTGTAACTGTTTAAAATTTCTGAACAAATAATAAAATAATATCAACAAAAATAATTCTTCGCCGAATTGTAGTTTCTATTGAAAATACAAAATATAAAACCTTTAATTTACCAACGAAGGTTTCATGATTCTTTGTTTTTCGTGTGATATAACAAGTATTCTGTTGTATTTGTGTGTGTTTGTGTGTGTGTGCGCGCGCGCTTACGCATATGTTTGTCTGTTAATTGTCACTTGGACTAAGATTACACATTGAGGAAATTTTGCTTTTCAAGTCTTAGTTGACTTTGACCAATTGTGTTAGTATATATGTATATATATATATATTGTTAACATGATTTGTTCACGGGCGGATACGCAAATCTGTACCGTGATTTTAGGTTGTGTTTGTGATAATTAGCTAGTAGCTGTTGAATAAATCCATAGAAATCTTTGACTACAGCATTCTATTGCTGAGTGCAATCTCATTGGTAAAAGTATGGTATACTGACGTCCTTGAGTGAACCAATCAGAATGAAGGTAACGCCCCGTGTGTTTTGCGCGGAATTTGAAGTGCTGTGATGGATTATTTGTATGCTGTTATTGACGAAGTATACATTTGCAATGTATGGTCCATAAAATGCTTGAAATCAATAGAAATTTCTGTATTGAAATTGAGAAGTCAATTTAAAATAGTTCTTAAGCTAAATGATTAAACACAACTGCTTTTAAATCAAATTGTCAGTTAAAATATTTGTTATGATTTAGTGGGTTGTGAAGAATTTTGTGAAGCCGGTTCACATCCACCCTCTTTCTATAACTCTTGATTTAAACCTCAACTATAAATGTCTTAAGTTTATAAACAGTCGAATGTCAAAGCATTGCATTCTTGATTGGCTGATAGGTTGTTCAAGATTTTCAGTACCATTTCGTTTAGTATACAAACAATAGGTTATAATTCCTTCTTATTGATTTTTAATTTTCTTAGTATGTTACAGTTCATAGAAATTCTCGTATTTTCCTAGTTCCTGGAATCTATAGTCAGTCACCTGGTAGAAGTGACGAATTGTTATGTTTTGTGATTTAACGCATTTCCTTACAAATAAGTTACTTCGTTAGTCACAGAATGTTCACAGCTTACAGTTGTGAACTGTTATTTGAAGTAGCTTCGTCAAATTTGGTTGACCATAGTTGTGCACTTTAGACTTGCCTATCCTACTACTGTGTTATAGATCGAACTCTTGAATTGTCATTCTTTCCATCTGATTTCTGACTGTTCAGATTTTATTATCATGGGAGAGAATCAAATCATAAAGTTGTGTGGTAAGGCGTTCGCCTACAATGCCGAAGGTCCCGGGTTCGAATCCTGCGAGGAGCAGGAGTCGTGGATGCGCACTGCTGATGAGTCCCATACCAGGACGAAACGGCCGTCTTTCAGTGCTTCCAGGTTTCTAATGGTGGTCTAACAATGATTGATTGACGATTTCAAATGTGTCAATATAGAATGCAATGTATTTCTAAAAACATTCCATAACAACGTAAGAATGTTCAAAATTCCTTTCGTCTCTAACCAATTACACTTGTTATCATGTAAGCCGTGTGCATAATGCCACCATGGCTTTACTGCTAACGACGGAAGTCCGTAAAGTTATTTGAGGTGTATTATTTTCAGCGGGTTCATTTTCCGTTGTTACAAGAAACTATTGTTGCAGGTCGTGGTTATTCATGAGAAACGCCTTCTTTATTATTAGGATTGCAGTATGATTTTAATTTTAAACATAAGATCAGTTACTTCTGATTGTGTTGCTCTCCAATTGACCTGGTTAAGAACCAGTGTTTCAACTGAGATATAACTTGATAGAGTTATCAAGATACACTAGTTCAACCATTACACTAATGGGGCAGATGCAGTCGGTGGTGTATGTATTTGTCGGTTGTTACTTGTTTTACTGACTGAGTGCCACAGATCAATCTTATAAAATAATCTTGATTTCTGAACCGTAAACATCAAACTTGTCAATTGGAACTCGAACTTACAACTCAATGGTTGAAAGTCAAATACCTTCATCACTAAGTCCCTGTTCCCCGATGAATGTTTTTATAATTATTAGATTTTTTGTCAATCAAACAGACTAAAAACTACATCAATCCTGATTTTTCACTGTTACATACTGATATTCAGTTTGGTTAAATATTGTAGTTATGAACAGTTGAGATTTTAGGTGGAATAATACTAATATACACTTCATATCAGTTAACCTTATCTTCTTTGTATACAGAAGAAGAAGAAGTAAGTCTATGCAGTCTCTTCATCTAACCTAGTCTATTACATTTTTTTCAAAGTCTCTCTCTTTCCATTCCTTTGAACGTTTCTGAAATTCGATTTATATTAACATTTTAATCTCTAATTCTAATCTTACGTGACTTAAATAATAATCTTTCTAATGATTTTATGATTGATTGCCACATGAAATCAAGAATTGATCATTGTTTTAGACTGCTATTAAAGAGTCTTCTCATACTAGGATAAAACGGCCGTCTTTCAGTATTTCCACGTGTTCTAATGGTAGTCTAACAATAATCGATTCCTGACTTATATTTGTAATTAATTTCAATGTTCTTGTATTCCTACTGTTATGTAACTATGAAATACTAATTGATCAGTTATGTAAGTTCATCTTAGTTTTCAATTTTTTTAATCTTACAAACGTTATGTAACTAACACCAATTAACTAGCTAACTAACTAACTATTATATTGTTAAATGGTCTCATCGAGGGATGTTTTGTGGTGTAGGAGGAGATTAGAAGAAAGGTAGGTGTGGCCAGACCAAAACATGGGAGAAATCCATAAAATCACTAATAGGTGGACTAAGTCATGTTGGTAGATGTAGGCTACCTGGTTGGGGTCCGCCAGACGAAAGTCATCTATGGTTAGAGACCTTGGGTAGGAAGGTTCGAAATCGTTTTGCAATCGCGCAAGTCCATCCACTCGTTGTGTTCTCTCAAATTGTAACGTTCTGAATTCCTAATCATCTGCATCTTTCCCTTTCTAAATTTACCTCACTCAATTATACTTCTTGAATAATATCTTCGAACCCTAATCTTCTTCATTACTGCTAATACTTCTATTATCGCTATCACTGTTGGATTTGAACTGACAGTTGTGTCTCTGCGCTAATGTGGTATGTCAACCTGAAATGATATACTTACGTACGAAGTTCTACGTTTTATCTGTTTGTTTGTCTGTCTGTCTAAATTGTCTCATCATCATCTAACTGTTATTGACTTTTTACTCATTAATAAAACAGATATATATATATATATATATATATATATATATATATATATATATATATATATATATATATATATATATATATTTAGTGTACAACCTTGATAGAAGGAATTATTTTTTTACATTTTAGGTGTTTCTTTATGAATAAGTTTGGAAATCATTCTGTCTACGCAAGCCTACTAATTGCGTTTTAAATATCATCCATTCCTATTCACATTATGCTACAGGAAAGTGGTGGTAAACGAGAATTTCGATGGGAATCGGGTTATGAAAAAACATGGTATGTTTGTTGTTCATTGTTTTTCATGTGTTTTGAAATTTTTTCTTAGAAAATGGTCATTCACTTTTTATTTATAATTCGAAATATTACTTACTTACCTGTTACCCCCAATGGAGCATAGGCCGCCCACCAGTTTTCTCCAACCAACTCTGTCCTGGGCTTCTCTCTCCAGTTCTGTCCAATGTTTGTTCATTCCTCTCATATCTTTCTCTATTTCTCGGCGTAGTGTGTTCCTTGGCCTTCCTCTTTTCCTTTTGCCTTGAGGGTTCCATGGAAGCACAGGAAGACGGCCGTTCCGTCCCACCTGGTATGGGACTCATCGGCAGTGCACATCCACGACTCCTAATACTCGCAGGGTTCGAACCCAGGACCTCAGCTTTTGCGCGCGGATGATGCCTGACCTTTGGACCACTGAGCCGGCCATCCCTCAACGATGTTAATATCTAACTTTGATCAATCTAAGGATTTTGCTCAACCTCACCCATTGTCTTCGGGTGGTCTAACAATGATTCATTCATGATTTCAATTATTCTGGAGACCTAGACATAACAGAAAATGTTTTATTTGGTCAGCATTGAATAGAAAGTTCTCAGAAATCCATGAAGTCATTGACGAGTGGACTTAGCCATGTCGGTAATTGTCGACTACCTGGTTGGGGTCCGCGAGATGATAATAATCGATGGTTAGAGACCCTGAGTGATATGGCTCAACATCGTTTGCGATGGCGCCGGTGCATTTATTCTTTGTGTTCTCTCAAATTCTAATCTTCTGAATTCTTCAACCTCTCTAGTTTTGACTTTCTAAACTTTTCTCATTAAATCATACTTCTTGAATAATATCTTCTAGTCCTAACCTTTCCGATTACTCGAAATACCTTTACTACTTCTTCTACTACTTCTTCTATTACTAGCAGTAATCTTGTACTAATTATTCGATATGCAAACAAGTCAACGTCGGATGAAATGGATTTGTATTTCGAGGAGAACACAGATCCTACACAAAATCATCGATAGGCATAGTTTTCGATCATCGATATGTATGTTCAACAGTCCAACCGGGTTATTGAATATCTTCTATCAATCTTCTTCTAGTCTTCAAAAAAAAAAATCTCTGATCATGCTGTTCACTTTGATCTGATCTGATACTTTTCTTTTTTCATAGCAACACTTCTTGGTGACGTTCCGCTGTATACTACTACTTATAAGCTACTTATAAGCCATCATGAATAATCCTATGAGATCGTCTTTGGCCGAGTAAAATCAATTGAAAATAGCTTCAATTGTCTTTTGTAAAACTTTAAAATACTCGATGAACTTGAAATTTCATCGGATTACAATTTTGATGTTTTGATTGTTAAGTTGTTTGGTATAGTCCATATTAAATCCAAATATAATACTTCTCTGTATTTACAGTCTGTCTATCAGCCTATCAGTTTAGTTTTTTCTTGTCAGATAATCTCCAGACTGTTAACTGTTAATATTTTTTAATTAAAAGGAGTGCAATTCGTGAAGATGAATCAGGACGTTTGGTGACAACACTAGAACAATTGATACACGATGCACATACACAAATCAGAAAGAAACGTCGACGTATTGGTGTTGGATCAACGGGATTTGTTCGATTAGGAATGGTTAGTTAGTTATTGTGTGTATGCGTGTGTGTATGTGTGCTTACTTATGCTTCTGTTGCCTCTTGTAGAGTTGAACGTGTTGACCGCTTCACTTATCTTAGGAGTCTCATTAGTGCTAATGACCTGGTGACTGACGAAATTGCAGCACGGATACAGAAAGCTCGTCTGGCTTTTGCCAACCTTCGTCACTTATAGCGTAGACGGGATATACGTTTGCTAACCAATGGATGAATCTTTTTCTCAGCAAATCGCTCCGTCCTACTACATAGCTGTGAAAAATGGCCAGTCAGCGTAGAAGATATTCGTAGGTTGGATGATTTCGATCATAGGCGTCTCCGAAGCATTGCTCGTGTATCATTGGACGATGGCGTAAGCAATGCAGTTGTTAAGTAAGGCTGTCAAATCAATTGATGGAGTAATGAATCTTCATCATTTAGGGTGGTTGGGACATGTATTACGAATGCCCAACCACCGACTGCCTCGTCGAGCCATGTTTTGTGGTGTAGGAGTAAGTTGGAAGAAAGCTAGGGGCAGTGAGACCAAAACATGGCGAGACCGATGATCCTAATGTCGATCCCAGCCTGCAGGGTCGTGAGTGCGCACTCTTGATGACCTCCATATACTTGAATTGTAGTTTTCCAATCCAAGTGGCAAATAAATAGTAATCTCACTTAGCACAAATTGAAAAGAATGCTTTCTACACTACTATACTTATTGATCATATATGTATGTGTAATACTAGTTTTTGTTCAATTGTTCAATTTGATTTCTATTTTTTTGATTCTTTATTTTCAGATGAGACATTTATTTCTCATTATCGATCTATCTCAGGCAATGAATGAACAAGATTTGAAGCCGAATCGTTTAATATGCACTGTAAATGTGAGTGAACGATTGAATGTACATTTGGACTGTATATATATTGAATGTTCACTTTGAGGAAAAAGAAATCAAACATTGAAAATTCTATTGATTAGCACGGGGTCGGTTGTTCGAACTGTTAGGATTGAAACAATTGTCCTCAATAGCAATTGGATAATGGTCGTGCTATATCGCTAAATCCGACGAACCATTACTCTATAGTGTTAATAAGACAATATGGATTGTATTACGGGGTTGTGAAGATTGTTAAGTTACACATTTTTTGAAACCGTGAATCGATCAATGTTAGACCACCATTAGAAAACCTGGAAACACTGGACGGCCGTTTCGTTCTGGTATGGGACTCCTCAGCAGTGCACATCCACGACTCCTGCACCCCGTAGCATTCGAACCCAGGACCTTCGGTATTGTGCGCGAACGCCTAACCATCGGACCACTAAGCCGGTATCTAACGGTGTTAATGTCTAACTTGATCGATTCACGGAGTTGCGCAACCTCATACACAGTCTTCGGTAGTTACTGTCTACACCCGAACAGGTTGAACTTCACTGGTCACGTCTTCCCACTAGAACTCGGAGAAGATTCCTCACGAAGCTAGTCACTAGTTAGCACAGGCAATTTGCATTACGGGGTTGTGAAGATTGTTAAGTTACACATTTTTTGAAACCATGAATCGAATCTTGCGAGGTGCAGGAGTCGTGGATGTGCACTGCCGATGAGTCCCATATCAGGCAGGACGAAACGGCCGTCTTTCAGTGCTTCCAGGTTTCTAATGATGGTCTAACATTGATCGATTGATGATTTCAAATAAGGATTGTATTAAATTTTGGAAATTTCTTTTGTACAGTAATACCTCATACATACAAATGTGTTGTGAACTTAACTGGCTCATATGCGTTACGCAAGCCTTTCACCTTACAAGTATAATGTATAACTCAATGGAGCGACGTTAGCAGATGGTAACCAATGACCAACAGTAGCTTCATACGCCGTTCCATTCCATTAGGATCATGAAACCGATGTGCAGCGTTAGTTTGAAATGAGGGTTTTCCAAGTCCCCTAAAACTATCCGTTAATTTAGTTTATGCTTTATCCGGACATTCAATTTTCGTCTAATCAATTCGGTAAACAACCCACGCGTCACAAGAGGTCACTGAGTAGAACTTCCATAATAGTGGCTATATGAGAGCATCTGAAGTGAAAGAGCGGACTATCCCTACTCTCAGCCAAACCAGGGCATTTGGAAGTTCATATCTACACTAGTTAAGGACACACGATTATAGAGTCCGCTTGTTATTAACTCATGTCTTATCGAATAGATGAGTGGACTATGAATCATAACCACCAGATATCCTAATGCTTATTGATTCACTCTACTCCTTCTATTCGTAGTAACCAGTCACAAAATAAAGAAGGCAAGTGCATTGAAACCTCTATTTATTCTATTACAATCCTAACTCAAAAGTTTCACTGCACTAATCACATCAATCACATTGTCACAACTCGCAACACATATAAATTTGAGTTCATTTCATCAAAATCATGAACCGATCAGTGTTAAACTAGTATTTGTAATCTGAAAGCACTGGACGGCCGTTTCATCTTAGCATGGAACTCACCAACAGTGAGCATGTGTGACTCCGGAATCGAACCCAAAACCTTTAGTCTCTCACTCAACTGCTTAACCTCTTGACCATTAACACTACATTAAAAACAGCTTTATAATCAACGTAAATCACAAAAACAGCTGAAATACAGTTTTAAATTTTCGCAAAGTTTTTCTCCCCTCAGACAGAAAAATTGTTTTCGTTCTTTGCCCCCATCTAGGCAGCTTGTACATTTGTTCGTGAATATTTCGATCAAAATCCTATCAGTCAGCTAGGCATAATTGTTACTTTCGATCGACGAGCTGAACGTTTAACAGAATTATCAGGTTAGATTTAAAACCAATAATTCATTGTTATATATTGATTTCATTTCGTGAGTGAGTGAGTGAGAAGTGTTTTTTTTTCGCTTTCATAATAAGAAAAATCGAATCTAAGTGATATATATAGAAGAAGAACAACAGCTATGATGATTGATTGTTTGTACATTTTAAAATCAACTAATTAATCTCCGAAAATTGATTGATATGGCTAAAATTGTATTCAATACAACCTGCCTGGGTTGTATTGAATCTTTTCATTGATGATAGTGAAGAGAATTGTGTTTGATTAGTCTTATTGGATGTATGTACACTCTGTGCGGATGATTGCCTTGATATAGAGCCATTATTTGACAGTTTTATCAGTCAGTCAGTCAGTCAGTTACAATGTAGAACTTCATATGTGCGTACGTCATTTTCAAGTTGCCATACCATATTAGCATATGGAGACGCAATTGTCGATTCAAATCCTATAGTGGTAGATGTCGTAGAAGTATAAGCAGTAGTCGAGAAGATTAGGGTTTGAAGATTGTTATTCAAGAAGTATAATTCAATGGAACATATCTAAAACGAGGAATATAAAGGTCATCAAGAATTCAGATTAGGATTTGAGAGAATACAAAGTATGGATGTACCTGTGCCATTTATAACGATTTTGACCCATATCATTCAAAGTCTCTAATCATCGGTTACTATCATCTCGCGTCCCCCGACCGGGAAGTCTACATTTCCCGAGATAGCTCAGCCCATTTTTCAGTGACTTCATGGAATTTCGTGCCATAAATAATGGCTAGCAGCAAAATCCAGGACGCTCGTTTTGTTCTATGTGGAACTCTTTGACTGGATGTACCTTTCACATCACATCTCAGAGTGGATGTTCGCTCGAACCTCGTACCTTACGTTTCTAACTCCATCTTCGTTTATTATCCTAATAATTTAATGGCTTTATCGACGTAATCCACATACGATGTACATATGTCAAACGAGACTGATCATTTCTAGTCCTAACTAATCAAAATGTAATAAACTTCACTCCGTTGCACTAACCAGAACCTTTCTGGATTCTGTAGCTAAGTAGATAATGCGATGGCGTTTGAGAAGGACTGTACTGGTTTTGAGTCCTAGAGAGAATATCAGTTCTGGGTTGGAGATACTTCCAGCTTATGATTCCCAAGTAGAACGGAATGTCCGTTCAGGATTCCGCTGCTAGACATTATCCATCTCTGTATTCGAGATCGGTTCATACTTTGGATCGAAGTAGTTGTTTATGATTCGTGTGTGTATGTTACTCATATTTAACAACTATCATAACATACCAACCCGGCTAGTCGATTAGGATCAAGTTGAACAACGTTCTTTAGACATAATCTAACCAGATAAATATGGCATCAGTTCTTGAGGTCATCATTAATCATGTGATTGAATGTATGAGGAAGATATGGTTTGACCTTGTTGACATCGGGTTCACATTATGATTTTGATCAATAGTTAGAAATGCAGTAATGTCCTACATAGATTATAACTGATTGATGTCCTGGTCTCGATTAAGCACTTTCATCTCATTGTTGTGAAATCATATTATTAGTCCTGGTAAACATGGGTGCCGTCGGAACAATGAGGGTTGTTGTTACCTCCTAGTTGTCCACACTGTGGAAGAATATTTCTTCTAAAGTGATCGGAATACGAACCTGGATTAGTCAATGGTCTTTGTAACTTCGAAGTGTGATTACAGAACCCAACGAACAGTTGTTTGAAGCCGATCACTAACGGCTATTTTATGGAAGGTTTTTCACCTATTAGCTGCGCACTTCAAAAGAGTTTATTTTCGGAAACTGAAACCTCGTGACATTTTTAGTTTGAACGTTTTCTAACCCCTTTGTTCCATTGTGAGAAGACATTATTGATACAGATGTTTGTTGTCCGAGTGATAAACCTTACTACTATAGCCTCCCTGTACAGTCTGCAGGATTTTATTGGCCAAAAAACTGACTACACAAAGGAGTAGCAGTGCGCATCCATGACCAAGGATCCTCAGTCACCGCTTAACCTGCAAACCATTGGATTGGAATACAATATCTGTAGAATCCAACTAATAACTATTTGAAACCGGTCACGCACGGTTATTTTGTGGGTAGGTTTTAACCTATTAGCCATGTACTTCAAAACGGTTTATTTTCGGAGACAGAAACCCCGTGGGGTTAAGCGAAATGTGACCGTGAATACTGTATAAACTTCAAACAGGGTTGTGAAGATTGTTAAGTTACACACATTTTGAAACCATGAATCGATCAAAGCTAGACCACTATTAGAAACCTGGAAGCACTGGACGGCCGTTTCGTCCTGGTATGAGACTCATCAGCAGTGCACATCCGCAACTCCTGCACCCCGCGGGATTCGAACCGCGAACCTTCAGTCTTGTGCGCTAACGCCTAACCTCTGGACTACTGAGCGGGTTGCAGGAGTCGTGGAAGCGCACTGCTGATGAGTCTCATACCAGGACGAAACGGCTGTCCGGTGCTTCCAGGTTTCTAATGGTGGTCTAGCTTTGATCGATTCATGGTTTCAAAATGTGTAACTGAAACTTTGTAATCACTGGTTTCGTTTGAGAAGTTATTTCTTCAGTTGATTATTTCTGATCAACTCGTAAAAGTCATTCTTGTGTTTTTGACGTAACAAAGGTTGAAGTTATAAAATTTTTTGATTAAACTTCTATACAAGTTTGATCTCATTGTCTTTTCGAATTTTTGTGTGTGTACATGTGTGTGTGTGTGCGTGTTTCTCTATAGGTAATCCTCGACCACATCTTGCCGCTTTACAATCACTTTATACACGTACTTGTATTGGTGAACCGAGTTTACAAAATGCTTTATTATTAGCGGAATCTCGATTAAAGTAAGTTGTTGGTACAATTTTAGTTTTGAGTGAGCAGAATTTTCACGAAGACATATTATTACTATTTTATCATTTATACATAAAATATTATTGGGTTTTTTGACTTGGTTGGTGTTCAAACTGAGATAGGCGATTTTACGTGGAGGCTAGTACTTCAGCCTTTGAATCAAAGGTCTAGTCTACAAGGATGTGAGGCAACATTAAGAGATGCATTCCCATGGTAGCTGACAATCAATTAGGTTTACAAATTCTGTTAATAAATTGACTGGCTTTTTCTAATTTGCATCACTTATAGCATAGGAAGGATATCCATGTTCTAACCAAAAGACAAGTCTATAACGCAACGGTTCGATCCGTTCTATTTCATGGATGTGAATCATGGCCAGTAACAGTAGAGGATAGTTGTAAGTTACTGGTTTTCGATTATCGGAATCTTTGAAGCATTGTTCGTATATCCTGGGACACCCGAGTGAGCAATGCTGTTATTAGGAAACGGGTACTACGTGAGGATGACAGATCAGTAGATGAAGTATTGAAACTCTATCAGTTGAGGTGGTTGGGACATGTGCTGCGTATGCTTAACCACTGACTGCCTCGTCAAGCTATGTTTTTTGGTGTAGGAGTAGGCTGGAAGTAAGCTAGGGGTGTCCAAACCAAAACATAGCAGAAGTCCATGAAGTTACTGATAAGTGAACTGAGTCATGTTGAGAGATGCAGACTACCTGGTTGGGGTCTGCGAGATGATAATAATCAATGGTTAGAGACCTTGAATGACATGGCTCAAAATCGTTCGCAATGGCGCCAGTGCATTTATTCTTTATGTTCTCCCAAATCCTAATCTTCTGGATTCTTCAACATCTCTAGTTTTGTCTTTCTAAACTTTTCTCACTGAATCATACTTCTTGAATAATATCTTCTAATCCTAACCTCTCCGATTACTTCTGATACCTTTACTACCTCTTCTACTATGGTGATTTGAATTGACAATTATATCTCTGTGTTGATGTGGTATGGCAACATGAACTGATGTGCTTGCGTACGATGTTCTACGTTGAATCTGACTGACTCTTATTCTAGTATCAACACTAAGATATCAACATGTGTTTAACTTAAGATTATTCTTTACAAAACTGACTAATTTTAATACCAACCTATCATTATTCCGAAAAATTCATTCATCCCACCAAAATTATTTAATACGCTTTTAATTAAAACACCACAAACAGGAAAATTCTTTTTCTTTTCTTTTAATGCATTCTTCTACTTTACTCTAATGTTCTATTTTTTTTAAAAACTTTCATCATTATTTTTCATATTTTTCCCTAAATTGGCAATAATAAAACCACAGTATAAATGGAAATTAGATTGGTCTTTCCCGTCCCCTCTCGCCAAAAAATTATCATTTTTCTAATCGTTTCCTCTTTTTCTGATCTTGCATTTATGAATGCCTTTTTATCATGCGATTCAGTGAGTTAGTGAATGAATGAGTTAAAGAAACAGTATTTTTGTGATAGAGAGATAGTGTGAGAGAGAGAGAAATGAAGAAAGATAAGAAGGATGTATTCTTATAGTTTGTTTTCTATTCTCAGAATTTCATCTCATTTATTGCTAAAATCAAAGAAAAAAAACAAGATCAAAATAGCGATCTTCAAATCAAAACAGAAAAATATCGATTGGGCATAATGGAAGATCATTTGAAGAATCAGCTGAAAATGTCTTGAAATATGAATGGTAGTGGAAAGAGAAGTGTAACGTTATCAGAGAGAAAAAACATATATATCCATATGAATGATAGTTCATATGAAAAGATTGAATGAACTGGAAATTATGAAATAAGATGAATTCCTCTACATAATTGATCCGAATACTGGTTACGAGAATCGCTATAGAACACAGACCACAAGATACTGTGTTCTGCACTGACGTTATTTACTTACTTACTTACTCCTGTTACCCCACATGGAGAATAGTACGTCGACTAGTATTCTTCAACCTATTCTGTCCTTCACCATCGTTTCTAGTTCTGGCCAATTGTTATTCATTTCGTCTCATGTCTGTCTCCATTTCTCGGCGTGATGAATTCTTTGGTCTGCCTCTTTTCCTTTGACCTTGAGGATTTCAAGTGAGGTCTTGTGTTGTGCTTTTTGCAATATGTTTCCTATTCGCTCTCAGCTCTTCTTTCTGGTTTCTTCCCCCACGGCAATCTGGTTTTTCTTCTCACAAAGTAGGTTGTTACTGATAGTGTCCGGCCAACAGATTGTTATGTTCGTCACTAGGTACGCTTGAAGCTATTACGAGTTCACCTTAGTCGATAAACGCGAACGAGACAATGAACCAGCGTCCAGATAGGCTACCTTGAATCCCAAGCTGTAAACAGAAGGCTTGGTAAGCGTAGAAAGTATATTCTACAAACACCTAGCATCACAATACAATCAAGCATACAACTCTCGTTTATTTATATATCATAGAAACGTCCTTGGGACAGTTACGAAAATAGCACACTAAAATACACAGCAGTCAATCACAGCGATGGATTTTCCTGGTGGATGGGAAATGAAATCTCAAGGTCAACTGATCAGCCCATGCTCGTGAACGTGAAATCCAAAATAAGGCATTTATCAAGCGAGTTCTTAGGATCTAACATTCTCAACACAGATGCAAAGTATTTTGCGTAGAGAACCGTGAATATAGATTTGTATCTTCTGGATGATGATGGCCTTTGTATTTCTTCAAGTTTCCACTCCATACAGTAGAACTGTCTTGACATTTTTATTGAAGATTGTGGCTTCGATGTCGGTTGATAATTGTTTTGAGTTCCAGATGTTCTTCAATTGTAAAAATGCTGTCCTTACTTTACCGATCCACGCCTTTTAATCTACTGACATTGTTCATTCTAAAAGTCAATGATTTCAGTAGCTGAAAATCATATCCTAGTTTGACCATCCCTCACTTTCTTCTCTGTTTTACTTATATTCCAATAAATATTGTCATCAGTGTGGTCAATTAGCACGTATCATGCAATCGGATTTCGGACACCACACATTATCATAACACTAATTCGAACTGTTTTCATTTTGTCTCCTTTCTGGATTATTTTCTTCAGTTGATCTCTTCTGATTACAATTGAATAGATTCGATCTATGTTGACACGTTTTTATTGATTTCAAAGTGGACTGAATATCATACATTCGCAAAATTCCTGTATCTGGTTAGATAGATAGATGTACTTGCAACTCAGAGTTGATGTCTATTTAATCCAGATACATCCAACTTTTTACTGTTATTTATTGTAAATGCTAAATGCAGAGTCTTCTGACTACCCTAAGCAACAATGCAAGCATGTTCGGGATGCGGTTCTCACCCTCAAAATGCAAAATGTTGCTTCAAGATTGGGTTGCATTGGCACCTAAACTAGTGATAAGGAGTGAAGTAGTCGAGCGTGTTGATCACTTCACTTATATGAGGAGTCTCATCAGCGCTGATAGCCTGGTCACTGACGAAATCTCAGCACGGATACAGAAAGCTTGATTGGCTTTTGCCAACCTGCGTCACTTATGGCGTAGACGAGATATCCGTTCGCTGACCAAAGGACGAGTGTACTGTGCAGCAGTTCGCTCCGTTCTCCTATATGGATGTGAAGCATGGCCGTTAAGAGTGGAAGATATTCGTAGGTTACTAGTATTCGATCATAGATGTTTAGGAAGCATTGCTCGTGTATCATGGGACAACCGAGTAAGCAATGCTGTCGTTAGGAAACGAGTACTAGGTAAAGATGGCAGATCAATAGATGAAGTGGTGAAACTTCATCAGTTGAGGTGGTTGGGACATGTGTTACGAATGCCTAACCATCGGCTGCCTCGCCGAGCTATGTTTTGTGGTATAGGAGTAGGTTGGAAGAAAGCTAAGGGTGGCCAGACCAAACCGTAGCAGAAATCCATGAATTCACTGACAAGTGGACTGAGTCATGTTGGCAGATGTAGGCTACCTGGTTGGGGTCGGCGAGACGAAAGTCATCAATGGTTAGAGATCTTGAACGACATGGCTCAGAATCGTCGTGCTCTCTCAAATCCTAATCTTCTGGATTCGTCAGCACTTTCTCTACCTTTGTCTTCTTAACCTTATCTCACTGAATTATACTTGTTGAATAATATCTTCTAATTCTAACCTCTCAGATTACTTCTAATATCTTTACTACCTATTCTACTATTGGATTTGAATTGACAATTACATCTCTGTGCTGATGTATGGCGACATGAATTGATGTACTTACGTACGAAGCTGTACGTTGCATCTGACTGAGTGACTGACTGTTATCCACTGTTCACCTCTGTGTTAACTTTGTTAATGCTTTTGTGTTTTAAAAAAAATTTAGTTAAAATTTCAGTAAACACTCTTTCTTCATTTTTTTTCCACTTAATTATTGATTTATTGATATTGACAGATATACCATACATCATAATGAAATTATTGTCATAATGGCTAGTCTGACTACATGTGATCCAAGTGATATACATCAAACTATTAAAAGTTTATCATCCAATGGAATACATTGTTCAGTTATATCGCTGGCTGTAGAAGTATTTGTTTATCGTGCACTAGCTCAACTTACACAAGGTAAATTGTAATTGTGGTTGTATTGTGTATTGTGTTGTAATCCATGGAGAGTTGGTTACATCTTTATGAGTTGTATTTGATGTAAATGTATTTGCATTACGGGGTTGTGAAGTTACACATTTAAAATGATGAATCGATCAATGTTAGACCACCATTAGAAACCTGGAAGCACTGAAAGACGTCCGTTTCGTCCTAGTATGGGACTCATCGGTAGTACGCATGGTGGTCTAACATTGATTGATTCATGATTACAAATGTGTAAATGTATTTAAAATGTAAGATATATACTGTTAAGTCATGATTTAAAAACTTGTGAAAGCATTGGACAAATGTTTCGTCCTACAATGGAACTACTCATCAGCAATGAGCATTCATGATCTCTTGCACATGGGAAATTGAATCTTGAGACCTAACATGTTGATCACTGAGCTGGCGTCGAACGATTATTTATGTTTAACTACAATTCATCCCTGAGATATTGTACCTCTCACACTCGATACGTTTCTACCTGGAACTCTGAGAATTCTATGCCTAACCACCGACTCCCTCGAAGAGCTTTGTTTTGTAGTGTAGGAATAGGTTGGAAGAAAGTTAGGGGAGGCCAGACCAAAACATGGCAGAAATCCATGAAGTCATTGACAAGTGGATTGAGTCATGTTGGTAGATGTAGACTACCTAGTTGGGGTCCGCGAGATGATAATAATCGATGGTTAGAGACCTTGAATGACATGGCTCGAAACCGTTCGCAATGGCGCCGGTTCATCCACTCTTTGTGATCTTTCAAATCCTAATCTTCTGGATTCTTCAGTCCCTCTAGTTTTGACTTTCTAAACTTTTCTCACTGTATCATACTTCATGAATAATATCTTCTAATCCTAACCTTTCCGATTACTTGTAATACGTTTACTACCTCTTCTACTATTGTATTTGAATTGACAATGGCGTCTCTGTGGTGATGTGGTATGGCGACATGAACTGATGTACTTACGTACGAAGTTCTACGTTGAATCTGACTGACTGACTAAACCAATTGATATATTTTCACAAATCATCATAAAGCACTGCCTGTTAACCACAATGGAGCGTGAGCCGCCAACGAGCATTCTCCAGCCTACTCTGTCGTGAGCCTTCCTGTCTAGTTCCACCCAACTGCTGTTCATTTTTCTCATGCCTGTATCCACTTCTCGGCATAATTTATGTGTTCATTGGCCTTCCTCTTTTCTTTTGACATTGAGGGTCCCATGTGAGGGCTTGTTTTGTGACGCAGTTGGGTGGTTTTCGCAGTGTGTGTCCTATCCTGCGCTTCTTCCTGATTTCCACAGCTGGACGAATCTGGTTTGTTCTCCCCCACCTGGAGCCCCTCTTGGCCTACTGCCCCAAGTCCGGATAAAGGAGGAGGTTTGGGCGTGGGATTGAAGACCACATCCTATAGAAAACTAACTCATTATAAAAAATGATAACCAGCAAAAGTAATTTAAACCATGAAGCACCATCATCGCTCATATTTATTCACCTCTACACAGTTACGACAGTTTAACTGTTTTTATATACTTGTCTAAATGTTCTTTTCTGTCAATTTTCTCGTAATATATAAGTGGATGTATAAAATACAAATGCATATTTCCTTGTTTTTCAACTCTTTCCACACCAGGATCATTTCATGTGATTATGGATGAATTACACTTGAAAAATGTCCTAAAAGATCTAGTGCCACCTCCAGTGGCTGCTGTAAGTTTTGTGCCGTTTTACAAATTTCGATTTTTAGAAAAAAGAAAAAAAATTAACACGTACTTTGTACACATGTATGTTTGTACACTCACGGTAGATTGTTGTCTATTGCTAAAGTTATGAATCGATCCTTGTTAGACCATCATTCGAAACCTGGAAGTACACTGGACAGTCGTTTCGTCCTAATATGGAACTACTCATCAGCGGTGCCTGTCCATCACCTGAGTTCGATTCTCGCGTACAAAGGCTCGTTGATGCTCACTACTGATGAGTAGTCCCAAACTAGGACGAAACAGCCGTCCGGTGCTTCCAGGTTTCTAATAGTGGTCTGACAAAGATTATTATTATTGTCATTATTGTGACGGAATAATGTATTTGAACACACTATTAAACTGAATGAATTGAGTGATTGCAAGTGATTATTAACAACTGATTGAATAAAAAACTCATATTTTTATTACAAACTATTCCGAAAGAGGTTGTGGTTATCATTTACGCATTAATTAATGTTTCAAACAGACTAAATCAAGGTTCAAATCATCTGAGGTGCAGCATTCCACTCACTGATTCAATTACTCTCTTTTTGTTCATGAATATCGACAAGCATGTAAAGTAGGGTTACAATTTCTTGCTGACATACATACTTTGTTGGATGTGTTCAGTCACTTAGTCAATCAGTCAGTCAGCGACATCGTAGAATTTTGTACGTACATACGTACATCAGTTCAAGTTGCCATACCACATTAGAACACAGAGACGCAGTTGTCAATTCAAATCCCCATAGTGGTAGAGATAGTAGAAGTATTAGCGGCAGTAGAGAAGATTAGGGTTCGAATGTATTATTCAAGCAGTATAATCCAGTGAAATAAATTTGCGAAGAGAAAGATGAAGGTCATGAAGAGTTCAGTCACTAAGATTAGTGGTTACATTAGAATTCGATCACCATTGAAGATTTAAATAAACATGACATACTTGCTCTACATAGAATATCGATTTTCTAAATTTCCATGAATGGTTATTTTTTTAAGGTGTAATTTTGTTGCTTGTTTATGATATTCAATGCCTTGATAGGGAGTGAAGTATTTGAGCGTGTTGACTGCTTCACTTATCTCGGGAGTCTCATCAGTGCTGATGGCCTGGTGACTGACTGATGAGTTCTCATCATGGATACAGAAAGCTCGATTGGCTTTTGTCAACTTGCGTCAATTATGGCATAGGGAAGATATCTGTTTGTTAAACAAAACACGAGTGTATTGCGCGATAGTTCGTTCTGTCCTACATTATGGCTGTGAAAAATGGCCAATCAGAGTAGAAGATATTCGTAGGTTGTATGTTTTCGATCATAGGTGTCTTCGAAGTATTGCTCGTGTATCCTGGGACAACCGAATGAACGATGCTGTAGTTAGGAAACGAGTACTAGGCAGGGACGACAGATCAATAGATGAATTAGTGAAACTTCATCAGTCGAGATGGTTGGGACATGTGTTGCGTATGCCTAACCACTGACTGCCTCGTCAAGCTATATTTTACGGTGTAGGAATAGGTTGGAAGAAAGCTAGTGGCGGCCAAACCAAAATAGGGCACAAATCCATGTAGCCACAGAAAAGTGGACTGATTCATGTTGGTAGATGTAGACTGCCTGGTTGGGGTCCGTGAGACTAAAGTCTCTGATGGTTAGAGATCTTGAATGACATGGCTCAATGTCGTAGGTGCATTCATTCATTGTGTTCTCTCAAATTCTAATATTCTGAATTCCTCATAATCTCTAGCTTACTCTCTTTCTAACTTTATTTCAATGAATTATACTTCTCGAATCATATCTTCGAATCCTAATCTTTTCCATTACTGTTAATACTTCTATTATCGCTATCACTCCTGGATTTGAACTAACTGTTGCGTCTCTGTGTTGATATGGTATGGCAACCTGAACTGATGTACTCATGTACGAAATTCTACGTTGTGACTGACTGAGTTCAAATCACTTCTTTTTTGTTATCAGTATAGTTCAAATGTGTCCAAATGTAAGACAGTTACTTATCAAAGACAATCAATGTCAGTCGTATAATATTGTTAACTGGTTCAAGTTAGACATTAACACTGTTAAATGATTGAATCAATGGTCTAAGTGTTAGGCGTTCGCTTGTCACCACATTACGTTCTGTCTCATGGATGTGCACTGCGCACACTTTAACAAATCAGTCATCCTATCCTTCCAGATTCCTTACTAGTTGTTACACTAATACTGTAGTGAACGAGAACACAGGTGGGGGCAACCGAATTGTATTTAACGGAAATTACAGAGTTACTCAGTAAAATCGGAACACCTTATCGTAAATCGTTCATTTGCAAAGGATCAGTTCATCACATCGAACTGGACTGTTCCTGTTGCAAAACATCAATCCAATGTCACTATTCATGCGTTTCATACAAATTCCATTGTTTTCTAACTCTTCCTTTCTTGATCTTCCCCCCGTATTATGCTGCCAGACATTACGTTGACACTCACGTCATGTACTGCTTATAAGTAGCTCACACCACAATACTACTGATCAATTCATGATATCAGTAGCATTCAGTAACTTTCATTCTGACTGACACTTGATATTGTTCAAATATGTATTTTATATTATTAATAATAATTCTGAGTTGAACTTATTCAGGTTAAACAAAGTAAACATTCACCATGGTAACAATAGGTTTATTTCTCTCTCTCTCTCTCTGTGTATGTGTGAGTATATGTTATTTATTGTATTACCAAAAAGTTCATCACACTTCTTTCTTAATCTCTGAATTGATTTTTTTTACTGTAAGTACAGACAGAGCAGAGCAAAACAAAAGTAAGAAAATGTAGAATCCAGTTAGAACAATGTAAAAAATCATATTGAACAGTACAATTCACAAACATACACTCACGCACACACACACTCACACTGCTTTTAAGTCGATACGGATCATATGAGTTTTCACTTGAGGCGTCAATTTGATAATCGACTGAGGCGCGCGCGCGCATCCAACTGATTTTTTTATGATTATATATTTTTAGTAATAAATAGTGAATACCAGTTGGTTGTGTCACGCACAGAGACACGCACACACACAAACAATATGCACTGCTTATAAAATCTTTCTTCTGGTTTTTTTCTCCAGAAAATTTGCTTGTTTGGCATTCAAGAGAAAGAAAAATGCATTTTTTTTCTCTGTAAAATTAAAAAATACGATATCTAATCCGAAAGAATCCTCTCACTCACTCACACACACATACACACATACACACGTTATTGATAATCATAATAATCCTTATGAATTGTTGTTGAAAATAACTTCACCTTATTAGTGTAGAGTTTTGTTGACGTATTGAACAGAGTGAACAGCAGGAGAATTACAGTGTTTGATTGATTGATGATCGGGTTATTATATGATCGATGTCATGTGTGTGCCAACTGCTGTTTAGTGTTGATTGTATTCCATTGGTCGATTTGAAATATTGTAGACGCTAATCTAGATGATTTGATATTAATTAAGTGCAATTTGTTGAGATATAAGTTGGTGGTTGAATGTAGTAGTTGGCACTCTTTATCAACAAGGTGTACCTGTAATCTTACAGGGAATTGATATTCTCTGATGGTATCCTCTCGTGTGTTATTTAGTTTCATAGTTGGGGGATGTTACCAGTGAGCTAACCGATGTTGAGTGATGATTTGCGCTTGTTCTTGTTACTTCATCGTAGACTTATAGAAGAAATTTGTTTGACAAGGGAATAAGGATTTCTATTGTTAAAGTATACCGTTTGAAAAATACCAATTTATAAATAACAGTGTAGGTATAAAAACATGAACTTCTTTTGTAACAATGTGGCTTTAATATTTTTGCATTATTTTCAAAAAATACAAAACTATTAAAGCCACATTTTACTGCGCAGCAGTTCGCTCCGTTCTCCTATATGGATGCGAAACATGGCCGTTAAGAGTAGAAGATGTTCGAAGGTTACAAGTTTTCGATCATAGATGTCTTAGAAGCATTGCTCATATATCGTGGGACAATCGAGTAAGCAATGCTGTAGTTAGGAAACGAGTTCTAGGTAGTAATGGCAAATCAGTAGATAAAGTAGTAAAACTTCATCAGTTGAGGTGGTTAGGATATGTGTTACGTATGGCTAACCACAGACTACCTCGACGAGCTATGTTTTGTAGTGTTGTAGTAGGTTGGAAGAAAGTTAGGCGCGGGCAGACCAAAACATGGCAGAAATCCATGAAGTCACTGACAAGTGGACTGAGTCATGTTGGTAGATGTAGGCTACGTGCTTGGGGTCCGCTAGACGAAAGTCTCTGATGGTTAGAGACCTTGAACGACATGGCTCAAAATCGTTTGCAATGGCGCAAGTGGATCCATTCATTGAGCTCTCTCAAATCCTAATCTTCTGGAATTCGTCAGCACCGCTACCTTTGTCTTTCTAACCTTATCTTACTGAATTATACTTCTTGAATAATATCTTCGAACCCTATTCTTCTTCATTACCATTAATACCTCTACTATCTTTATCACTATGCGATTTGATTTGACATTTCAGTCTCTGTGTTATTGTGGTATGGCAACCTGAAGTTATGTACATACGTACGAAGTTCAACGTTGCAACTGACTGGCTGCATTATTTTCAGTTTGCTTTTTTGTGATTGTTAGGATATTTATCCAATATCATAAGAGAATTATCGCTTGATTCCTATTGGTTAATTACTACTGGTCCATTTTATGGTCGTCCTAGATATCAGTGTCATGTATTTCAATGTTGTTTCCTATTCGACCTAACTGTATAAATACGCATTATCTGTAACCTTTTATGACCCGGATCCCTGGTTCTCCTCTGGACTCGGACCTCGTACTTTCTGGATACTTGTAGAATACGTGTTCTAATTCATATCAAGTATTCTTCTTTTATTCAATATGGTGGTTGAGACACTCGGATTAGAGTAGCATAGCGTGTCGCCGGATCTTCGATCCTCGCTCTTGTTTTCCGACGGAGGCAAACTCGAAATAATTCAAGCATATCGAAATGACGTGTTTACGTGCAGGCTTAACAGTGATCCACCTTGAAAATAACTTGACATGTGTTAGTATGCTGAAATCACATAAATCTTCAGCGTGATAACTACTCTTTTAGGTAGGTCACACCTCAAACGCTGTTCGTTCCCTCAGGATCCTGAAGTCGATTTTTATCATTAGTTTGAAATCAGAGTTTTCCCCTTTCCATCCTCTCGATTTCGCAAATAACACTACTTGCTACAAGAAGTCAGTGAGCATAACTTCTGTGGTAGTAATTATAGACGCGTTGCCGTCTGAGAGCATTTAGAGGAGAGTGGACGTTTCCTACTCTTAGGCAAACCGGGGCACTGAATACTGTGGGTTTCTGTAAGTAAATATAACTAACTAGAAATGTATAAAAATTAATACCAGAAGAATGTAAACTTTCATCCAACTCAAAGAACGAAACTCAATCATAATCACATACCTCAGCCTCATCAGTGCTGGTTGTTTGGTTTCAGCATAGATACTGTAGGCTCGAGTGGCTTTTGCCAACCTGCCTCACTTGTGGCATAGGTAGGATGTCCGCCTGCCAACCAAAAGACGAGTCTACTGCGCACCAGTCCACCTTGTCCCACTTTATAGTTTAGAGGTTATTCGTAGACTCTTAGTATTCGATCATAGGTGTCGTCGAAGCATTGCTCGTATATCCTAAGGCAATGGAGTAAGCAATGCTATTGAAACGGGTAGAAGATAAGGATGTCCAATCAGTTAATTAGATATTGAGTCTTCAGCAGTTGAGGTGGTTGTGACATGTGCTGTGTTTGCCCAACGACCGACTGCCTCGACGAGCGATGTTTTGTGGTGTAGGGTTAGGCTAGAAGAAATCCAAAGGCTGTCAGACCAAAACATGGCAGAAATCCATGAAGTCACTGACAAGTGGACTGAGTCATGTTGGTAGATGTAGACTACCTGGTTGGGGTCCGTGACATAATAGTAATCGACGGTTAGAGACGTTGAATGTCATGGTTCAAAATCATTTGCAGTGGCATAGGTGTACCCATTCTTCGTGTTCACTCAAATTCTAATCTTCTGAATTTCTTATCACCTTTCATTCTATTCTCAAATGTATTCCCCTAGATTATACTCCTTGAATAATATCTTCAAACTTTAATCTTGCCTATTACCATTAATAGTTCCACTTCTGCCACTATGGGATTCGAATCAACAATTGCATCTCTGTGCCTAATGTGGTACGACAACTTGAATCGATGTACGTACGTACGTCAGAAGTTCTACGTTGTAACTAACTCACTGACTGATTAACTGATTATCATGTACCTGAACTAAAAATTTTCTCAACCATCTCAAAACGTTTCTCCTTTCGGTAGAGGTCAAACAATAGTTTTCTTAGAACATTGGTTCCATAAGAATGGTGGCAGCTGAGTATCTTCTCTGTAAGAAAGTTCATTAGAACTCCGATAATAATGATATATCTGTTACAAATGCTCGTAAACACGTCATTTTGATATGATTGAACTATTATGAGTTCACCTTATTCGGGAAACGAGATCGACGATCCGGCGACACGCTATGCTACTCTAATCCGAGTATCCCAACCCCCATATTGAATAAAAGAAGAAGACTCAACATGAAGTAGAACATGTATTCTACAAGCATCCAGAAAGTACGAGGTCCGTGTCCAAAAGAGAATCAGGATCCCGGACTAGGGATCCAGGTCCGGGTCATAAAGCTTTACAGATAATGCATATTTATACATTTTGGTCGAATAGGAAACAACATGGAAGTACGTGACATTGATATTTAGAATGACCATACTATATCGATCAGTAGTAATTAACCAATAGGAATCAACCGATAATTCTCTTGGGATATTGTGGATGAATATCCTAACAATATCTCATAGATTATGTAATTTGAACATGAACATATGTACATAAACACAAATACTATTGAAATAATCATTTTTTAATGAAATATTTTTTTCGCTTGTAATTATTATCAATCCTGTTGTCGGTTTCTTTTTTTTTTTCAAACAGAATGAAACTGAAGCGAATCTCATTCGAATGGGTTAGTGGTTTTTTTCTGTCAATGTATTTATCATTTGTGATTATTGTTTTCTATGTGTGTGTGTGTGTGTGTGTTGGTCTGTTTGTAATTTATTGATCAATGATGCATTGGATTGTTATTAGTAGACGGATCGATAGACAGACAGACAGGCAGATACAATGCAGAACTTCCTATGTAAGTACATCAGTTCAGGTTGACATACTTCAACAGCACAGAGACGCAACTGTCAGTTCAAATCCAATAGTAGTGGTAGCGATAGTAGAGAAGTATTAGCAGTAATGAAGAAGATTAGGGTTCGAAGATATAATTCAGGAAGTATAATTCAGTAAGATAAATTTAGAAGGAGAAAGATGGAGGTGATGAGGAATTCAGAAGGTTATAATTAGAGAGAACACAATGAGTGGATGCACTTGCGCCATCGCAAACGATTTTGAGCCATGTCGTTTCTAACCATCGGTGACTTTCGTCTCGCGGACCCCAACCAGGTAGCCTACATCTGCCAACATGACTCAGTTCACTTGTCACTGACTTCTTGGATTTGTGCCATGTTTTGGTCTGGCCGCCCTTAACTTTCTTCCAACCTACTCCTACAACATAAAACATCGCTCGACGAGGTAGTCGGTGGTTAGGCATTCGTAACATATGTCTCAACCACCTCAACTGATGAAGATTCACTACTTCATCTATTGATTTGCCATCACTACCAAGTACTCGTTTCCTAACGACAACATTGCTTACTCGGTTGTTCCAGCATATACGAACAATGCTTCGGAGACATCGATGATCGAATACTAGTAATCTACGAATGTCCTCTACTCTCACTGCCCATGTATTGTTTTCAGTAAATGTTAGTATAAGGGGTTATGGAGAGTTTGAAAAACTTTCATTGAAATCATGAATTGATCAATGTTAGACTGACTATTAGAAATCTGAAAGCACATCAGACGGTAGATTTGTCTTAGTATGCTGTTCATCTGCAATACTCTGCCATGAACCCACAAGTGGGGATCGGATTCGGGGCCCTACAGTCTTACACGCAAACATTTAACATTTTAACCAATAAACCGTCATCCAACAGTATTCATTTCTAACTTGATTCATTTGAAGATATTGGGCGACCACCTAACACAACTGAACTCCATTGGTCATAGAGTCTAACTAGAACTTGAAGAATCCACCCCACGAAGCTAGTCATTAGTGAACATAATGTTTCCAGTTTCTAAGTTTAATAGCGCTTGGCCTTCTGTTTTGAATTTTTGCGTATTGCGAGTTACGTTCAGCTTCAATTCACCTTAATAGATAAGGTTTTTTAAACTGGTTTTCATCTGGTGTGTAGACCAACAGTCACGGGATCGGATCCGTCAGTGAGCACTAGTTGTTCACTCAAGATTACAGGTATATCATTTGCTAATAAGCGCCAACTAGCACTAAACTTAGGTCTAAAGTTTCTTATAGACTGCCTCCTGTTGCGGATGTTAGATCCCCAGAACTCGCTTGATAAGTGTCTTTATTTTGGATTTTATTCATGGGCTGATCAATGAACCTTGAGATCACATTTCTCACCAGGAAAATCCTTGGCTGTGACTGGTCAATGTATTATTTTAGTGTGCTATTTTGTGACTCTACCAAGGAAATCTCTATGGTGTATAAATAAACGCGATTTGTGTGCTTGGATTCATTATGTACTGGCTGGGTGTTTGTAGAAAACACTTCCTACACTATATCAAGACTCCTCGTTAGTATTTTTGCGTCAAGGGATCATAGTAGCCTACCTGGACGCTGGTTCATTGGTTTATTTTCGTTATCTAACAAAGGTGAACCCGTAGTAGTTTTAAGCATATCTAATTTACATTTCAACAAAGTGTGCATGATCATAAGCCACCTTGATTGGTGATCACATTTAAACCGGATCGATAGAATTCAATCAACACTGAACAGAAATCGCCACATTGATCGCAACCTAGTGATTGATTGATTGTACTACTTACGACCAATCTACTTTTCTTCTTGAAATAAGATCGATTCAAAGTGTCATGTTCAGTTGATTAGTCAAGTGTGTATCGATTCAAAGCAGTAATAAGTTTCCTGTAAAAATGTACATTGTAATGCTATAAGTTAACGTAGTTCTTACCACATTAGTGTTGAGTGATCGTTTCACTCTAGAGATTCAAACTCACGTTTTATTAATCGCTAACTATTTCAGTCAAGCTATAATATAACTGTTATATAACACATACTCTCTGATCAGATCATCACTACTGTTTAGCATTAGAATATGTGATGTACGTGATCTGAATGTGATATACGCTAACCCTTGAAACTGGCTACTTGAGCAAGAAGACAAGAACAGAAGTGAAAGTCAATTTGGCTACACAATCAATTGTACACATACTCGTCTATGTATATTCTATTCCTCTGGAAAATGAACTCCTTGCTTAGCCAGTGATATGTATTCAACCTTTAGGATATTTTCTGATGATCATCAAATAGCCACTTCCTATTCGATCATTTCTGATTAGTTAAAAAGTAAATATTGACTGAATACTTCACAGTTTGACTATTCAATCAATTGATTTTAGAATACATAAATATACTGATTAATCATTATGTGTTTGACGGGGCAAAGTAACTCATTTCAATCCGTCATTTTTGACGTTCTAACGGGAAACATTGACCATCGAAAGTCGATCATGTTAATGAAACTTGAGCTATGTTACTAACGTAGATGATGATGGTTTAATATCGATAATTGGCTGTTGGAACCGACCCTTTCACTCCCCCCCCCCCGCCTAGAACTCAGTGGTTTGAAAGTTAATCATTTATCTTGAAACCTAAATGTTTTGAGTTTGCTGTGTAATAAAGTAGCGGATTCACACTGCAGACACATTAGCACAGAGAGATTAAATCGTTAATTCAAATCCCATAGTAGTAGAGGTAGTAGAAGTATAAGCTATAGTCAGGAAGAATAAAATTCGAAGATTCAATTCAAGAAGTATAATTCAGTGAAATAAAACTGGCAAGAGAAAAATAAAGTTGATGAGGAATTCAGAAGATTTGAATTTGAGAGAACACAGGGAATGTATGCACCTCCGCCACCGCAATCGATTTTAAGCCATGCCATTCAAAGTCTCTAACCATCATCTCACGGACCCCCTATCGGGTAGTTTACACTTAATTTGGTACCCGACCGTAGCTGCTACCTTGACGTGGTGGTTGGGCTTGCCTGTCGTGATGATCCAACCGATCTATATTGCCTGTAACATATGTTCCTGTAGGTTCTACCACGCCAGGCAGGTCGATTAGAAAACAGTAAGACTAAAAGCAGCTACTCAAGGTCTGAGGGCGAAGTCGTACTGCTGACTGTGACGGAGGGGTGTGACAGTGAGGTGTTTCCCTCGGACAACCAGCATCTGCAGCGATGCTGCCTTCTCACAAGGAAGGAAGGGTTAGAAAAGGTCAGCCCTAAAAATGTCACACCTCCCCTACCTCACGGATTTCCGTCTCCTTGGGTAAGGGTGCCCACTAAGGGCCTTTAAGAGCGGAGTTAATACTCTAAAAACTTTTCATCAAAAGGCCGTGCATGACCGGCCTCAAGCAGTTGTCCCTTGGACTCTGCGGCCACACTCCCAGGTCGTTCAGACCGACACTAACCTACTTCCCTGTTCAGGTTCCTCAAGAAACAACCTTCTAGCTTCCTTCCAACCTTCTCCTTTATCACAATACATTGCTCGTTGGAGCAGTCAGTGGTTGGGTTTACATAGCACATGTTCCAGTCACTACCACTACTACGACTACTACTAAACTCATGTAATTTCAATCTGATTTTTCTGTTTACTAAAGTCAATCAAACAAACACTCATAATATCTTTTTTTTACAGCATGTGATGCTTGAAATTTTTCTAAATTTTTATTTATTTAAAAATTTCAGGTTTTCCACATTCTGAAACATTTGATCTTGATCGTTTCGCAGTGAAACGTTGTATGTGGTAAGTTAGTTAGACAGTTAATGAGCTAATTTTCATCATTCTCTCTTTTATCACTTGTTGTTAATTTGAGATTTATTCATGCATAGAATACAATTGAAACTGTAATTTCACTAAACTAGCACTTACTTACCTACTTACTTGCACCTGTGTCCCCCTTTCAATGCAATGCAGCATAGGCTGCTGACCAGCATTCTCTAGCCTACTCTGTCCTCTGAGCCTTTGTTAGGATATTCATCTAATATCCTACGAGAATTATTTGTCAGTTACTATTGGTTAATTCCTACTGGTCAATTTTACGGTTGTCCTAGATATCAATGTCACGTGCTCCAATGTTGCTTCCTATTGGTTGTCCTGACTATCAATGTCACTTCAAATGTTACTTCCTATTGGTCGTCTTAACTATCGATGCCACAGAATTCGATGCTGTTTCCTATTCGACCAAAATGTATAAATACGCATTATCTGTAACGTTTTATGACCATGACCAGGACCAGGACGCGGTACCGGATACCTAGTCCGGTATCCTGATTCTCTTCTGGATTCGGACCTCGTACCTTCTGGATGCTTGTAGAATACAAATTCTACTTCACATTCAAGTCTTGTCTTCTTTTACTCAATATGGGGGTTGAGATAATTGGATTTGAGTAGCATGTCGTGTCGCCGGATCCTCGCTCTCGCGTTTCCGACCAGGTAAATTCGTAATAGTTCAAGTATATCAAGTTGACGTGTTTACGTGCAGGCGTAACAGCCTTCTTTGCTAATTTTGTCCAATTGTCGCTCATTCTTCTCATCTATGTCACCATTTCTTGGCGTATTGTGTGTTTTTCAATCTTCTTCTCGGTAAAAAAAAATAGAATGCCAGCCAGCAAAGATAATCATTCAAATTAGTAGTACTTGTGAAATGGAATTATTTTTTTTACAAAGAAAAATCATAGTACAAACTCGAATAATAGTGTCGAAATATGAGTTTGTGTTTTTTTTTCTACTACGGACATGAATCAATAGACTAGAGTTTGTAAGTTTACTTAACAAGTTTAAACTTGAAGCAAAATGTGAATCACTAGTCCATAGTATAATAATAATAATAATAATGTACATCTAACTATAACAGAATATTTACTGTTGATGATATTGATTCATCGTAATAATACTCCAATAAAAGAAAAGATTGTGGTGTGCTTCTTGATTGGATAGACATGGTTAAGTTCTGCAGTCATGTATATTCGAAGCTTAGACATTATTTACAATGTAGACACTTCTTCTTAGGCATACAATCATCAGTCAACAGCAATGTAGAACTTCGTATGTACATAACATCAGTTTAGAGATGATGAGAAATTCCAAAGGATAGGATTTGAGAGAACACAAAGAATGGATGCATCTGAGCCATTACAAATGACTTTGAGCTATGTCATTTAAGGTCTCTAACCATTGGTGACTTTCGTCTCGTGGACCCCAACCACGTAGTCTACATCTACCAACATGACTCAGTCCACTAGTCAGTGACTTCATGGATTTGTGCCATGTTTTGGTCTGGCCGCCCCTTGCTTTCCCACACCCGATCCCTACACCACAAAATATAGCTCGTCGAGGCAGTCGATGGTTAGACATACGTAACACATGTCCTAACCACCTCAACTGATGAAGTTTCATTACTTCATCTATTGATCTGCCACCCTTACCTAAGTAAGACCCAGACGGATGCATGAGCAATGCTTCGGAGACACCTATGATTGCAAACCAGCAACCTACGTATATCTTCTACTCCTACTGGCCATGTTTTGCAGGACGGAGAGATTTGATGCGCTGTAGACTCGTCCTTTGGTTAGCAGACGGATATCTCGACTGCGCCATAAATGACGCAAGTTAACAAAAACCAGTCGATTATTCTTTATCCGTGTTGAGAATTAGTCAGTCACCAGGCCATCAGCACTGTTGAGACTACCGATATAAGTGATGCAGTCGACTCGCTCAAATACTACACTCCCTATCCTTAGGCATATATATATCTGACACTTAGAAATTACTTTGTCTCCGCTTAAATTTTACTTGCCGTATATGATAGTAATAATAGATTATCAATCTAATTACAATCCGTGACTTACATCTGTTATCCCTCATTAATGATCATAAACCGACAAGGAACAATCTTTAACCAACACTTGTTGTCCTTCGTTCACTATCCTTTCCAGTTGTTTCCAATTACTATTCATTCTTTTCATATTTGTCTCCAGTTTTCGGTGTAATGTGTTTTATTTAGTCTACGCTTTTATTTTCTTTGGCCTTGAGTATGCCAAGTTTGTACTTGCATCGTGACACAGTTGGATGCTTCTCACACAATGTGTACGTCCGATCCGCCTCTGACATCTGTTTTTCTTGATTTCTTTCTCAGCTGGAAATTGATTTATTCTTTCCCCGTAGTATGTTGTTGCTGATGGAGTATGACCAATCAATCCAGAACTGTTAATAAACACCTGTCTCTTTTGAATGATAGTTTTTATAGCTCCTTCAATTTTCAGTTCCATATAATAAGAGCAGTTTTTTAGACGTTTTTATTAAACAATTCCAACAACCAACAGAATCAATTCAATCAATCTTATGCAAACACAGGAAGGACAAAATTACAAGAGAAGAAAAAACCAAATATCATCTACAAATTAAACAGCTGCTCAGACTGTAAATAACACTACATTAGACAAAGTGGATGTGCTCTTCAGCTTCGTTTGCGTGAAAATCACTTAGCAGTCAAATGTCATACGGACAACTATGGGCATACGTTCGATTGGAACAAGGTTGAAATACTGGATACAGGGTGTACAAAGAAGAAGCTTGGCACTCAAGTCAATCAGCAAACACATCGACATTGACCCAGTTTATCAACCAGTCAGAAAAATCATAGGTGACACAGGATCAAGAAACAGATCAAAGTGGGACACAATCAAAATAAAGGCACAAACAACGACAGGTTTAAGGTCAACAGCTACCAATCAAGATCGAGGTTAACAGAACTAGCTACAGGTCATACACGTGGGGAATTTCGAATACTTCACTTCTCCTGATGATGTGTTCTGTAGCAAAACAATCAAAGTTCCACAACCAAAACACTCAGCTCTGAGAAAAAGAAGGCTGCTAAACTGTGTCTTTGTTGTAGTGAATCATGTTTTACATTTTGATTTTTCACGTCCATGTTTACCCAACCTAACTAGATTGGCTGGAACATATGTTCCTGTCGGTTCTACCATACCAGGCAGGTCGATTGGAGAACGATGAGACTAAAGGCAGCCACTCAAGGTCTGAGGGCGAAGTCGTACTGCTAACTGTAGAGTGGTGTGACAGCAGTAAGATGTTTCACTCGGATAACCAGCATCTGCAGTGATGCCGCCTTCTCACAAAGAAGAAAGGGTTAGAAAAGGTCGACCCTAAAAATGTCACACCTCACCCTACCTCACGGATTTCCGTCTCCTTGGGTAAGGGTGCCCACTAAATGCTTTTATGAGTGGAATTAATACTCGACAAGCTATGTTTTGTGGTGTTGGAGTAGGTTGGAATAAAGATGGGGGCGGACAAACCAAAACATGGCAGAAATCCATGAATTCACGGACAAGTGGACTGAGTCATGTTCGTAGATATAGGCTACGTGGTTGGGGTCTGCGAGACGAAAGTCACCAATGGTTAGAGACCTTAAACGAAATGGTTCAAAATCGTTTGTAATGGCGCAGGTGCATTTATTCTATGTGTTCTCTCAAATTCTAACCTTCTGAATTCCTCATCATCTCTATCTTTCTCTTTATAAATTTATCTCACTGAATTATACTTCTCGAATCATATCTTCACTCCTTAATCTTCTCCAATACTGCTAATACTTTTATTATTGCTATCACTATTGAATTTGAATTGACAGTTACGTCTGTGTGCTGATGTGGTATGGCAACTTGAACTGATGTACTTACGTACGAAGTTCTGTGTTGTATCTGTCTGCCCTAAAAAACCTTTGATAAAAAGTCCGTGCGTGACCGACGTCAAGCAGTTGTCCCTTGAACTCTGCGGTCACGCTCCCAGGTCTCCAATGCCGACACTAATCTATCTTCCTCTTCATGTTCCTCAAGTTACAACCTTCCATGGTGTGGGGTAGCCGGGAAGTCACATCCGCCGTCATACCCGTAACAATCGAATCCTTTCTACACCTCTTAATAACTCTCTTATCACCACGTCCATTGTTTATGAGAAATCATATTCATCAACTAATCCATTCACTTACTTCTCCTTGTTGTTATTTACTGTCGAAATTTTCAGTCATTTATCAAGTAAATCTACAAATGAAAAAACCGATACTACTGCAACGATGACAACGACAACGACGAACAGTACTACGACAACGACGACGACAACAACCAATCCACATTATGCTTGTCCACGATGTCATGCTGCTTATTGTGAATTACCTGTGGAGTGTAATGTATGCGGATTAACACTGGTAGCTGCACCGCATCTTGCACGTGCTTATCATCATTTATTCCCATTGGATTCATTTGAACCAGTTCCAAATGATGATTCCAATGGGAAATCATTAGATAATCAAGAAAATTTAGAAGAAACAGTTGATTCAACACATCATGATAATAATAAGATTGATAATAATGATCAATTACGTGTTTGTACTGGTTGCAATGTTATTATCCCATTGAAAGTTCCGGTAAGTTTTAAGTTCATTTCATTTAATCGACGAATGTTAGATTAACCGATTTGGCAAATTGGAAGGATTGGTTTTAATGATTTGACTGAAATTCAACAATCTTTATAAATAAATCTTATGGCGATAGTCAACATTTACTGAGTAGTGACTAGCTTTCAGAGAGAATTCTGAGAGTTCGAATGTGAACCTGTGACCAGTGGAGTTCAACTGTGTTGAGTGTGAGAGGTATCTATGCACCGTAGACAATGGGATAATGGTCGCTTAGTATTAAGATTAATTGAAGTTAGACATCCGCTCTCACGAGCCTGGAGGTCCTGCGTAATTATGGATCTATGAGCATTGCTGATGAGTGCCATACCAGGATGAAATGACCGTCCAATCCCTCTAGGTTTCCAATGGTGATCTGGCTTTGATTAGTTCGTCATACTTTCAACTGTGAAAATTAGGTGAAACTCTTCTAATTCACTAGAGACACTACTACATGAAAAATTACTTCTAAACACTATCGTGAAATTTTTCATTATAGAGTTATGGAGATTGTTTTTCATTGCAGAAACCATGAATCAGTCATCGTTAGACCACCATTAGAAACCTGGAGGTACTAAAAGTCAGCTGTTTCGTCCTGGTATGGTAACCATCAGTAGTGCACATCCACGACTACTGCTACTCCCAGGATTCGAACCCAGGACCTTCGGTCTTGCTCTTAAATGCCTAACAATCATACCATTGGATGCCGTTTCAGTTACCCGGAGATCTAGCATTCGCTCATAAGACCGAAGGTCTTGGGTTCGGATCCTGCGAGTAGCAGTAGTCGTGGATGCGCACTGCTGATGATTAGTCACATACGAGATCGAAACAGCCGTCTTCCAGTGCTTCCAGGTTTTCAATGATAGTCTAACAATGATTGATTCATGTTTTCAGTAATATTTATACAACTCCCGAAAAGATGATATCATCGGAAGGAAAAGTTTATATTTTTCCCCACAAAAATATCGTCATTCTTCTCATGATTTTCTTTTTGTTTGTTTGTTTGTCTGATTTTAATCTTTGCTTTTTTTTCGTTTCAGGGCTATCAATGTCCTAAGTGTAAATTTCTCTTTTGTCATTCATGTGATGCTGTCCTACATGATTCAATTCATTCATGTCCCGGGTGTTTAACTTTATTGTAAAATAACTCTGAGTTGATTTCTTTAATTGTAAATAGACAACTACTGTACAATAAATCAATGTGTTTTTTGCATGTTCTCATGATGATTAGCGTTCGTTTTCTTGTTTCTTTTGGTCAAGATTTTGCCACTTGTTAAATGTGATTCACATATGATATGCTGTAAGTGACCGACCGATTGTTGATTTCATGTTAGGCAGACCGTTATAAGTTTTTTTTATGATTTCTAATGCTTTAGACTATGATTGCTTACTGAGTTACTTACTTACTTTCGTCTGTTACCCCCAAATGGAGCATAGGCTGCCGACCAGTTTTCTCCAATCAACTCTGTCCTGGGCTTCCCTTTCAAATTCTGTCCAATTTTCGTTCATTCCTCTCATATATTTCTCTATTTCTTGGCGTAATGTGTTCCTTGGCCTTCCTCTTTTCCTTTTACCCCTTGAGGGTTCCATGTGAGGGCTTGTTTCGTGACGCAGTTAGGTGCTTTTCGTAGTGTGTGTCCTATCCACTTCTTCTTGATTTCCAACTCCACTGGATTTCATTCAAATCATGTATTGACTTGATAGATCTTCTATTAAAAATTTCTTACGATAATCTATAAACGAAGTCAATAAATCATTGAGATTGAATCCCCACTGTTCACATACAACTAATACTAACTAGTTGTGTAGTTGAGAAAAAAAACATAATCTCATTTTTGGATGAGTCATTTCTTTTAAGAAGGCTTTTTTATCATTTCGGTCAGTCAGTCAGTCAGCTACAAGGTAGAACTTCGTAGAACTTTGTACGTACTTATATCAGTTCAATTTGTCATACTGTTACGCATGCACACATAAACAGGTCATTTGATATGCTTGAACCATAACGAGTTCATTCTAGTCAGTGAACAAGAGCGAGGATCCGGTGACTCGATATGCTACTCTAATCCGAGTGTACCAACCGCCATTGAGTGAAAATAAGAAGACGTGATATGAAATAGAACATGTATTATACAAGCATTCAGAAAGTACGAGGTCTGAGTCCAGAAAAGAATCATGATCCGGGTTCGGGTCCTGGTTATAAAACGTTACAGATAATGCGTGTTTATACATTTAGGTCGAATGGGAAACAGCATCGAAGTCTGTGACAGTGATAGCTAAGGCGACAAGCAGGAAAAACAACTGACGACCAATTAGAAATAAAATTCGAGTACATGACAGTGATATCTAGGACGACCGTAAATTTGACCAACAGGAATTAACGAACAGCGATTGACCAATAATTCTCTTAGGATATAGGATGAATATCCTAACACATACTACATCAGCACAGAGAGTGGTCGAATCGTCAATTTAAATCCCATAGTGGTAGAAATATTGGCGGATATGGGAAAGATTGGGGATCGCAGATATCATTTGAGAAGTAAATGCACACAGGAGTCAATTTTTTAAAAAAAGAGCAAGAGAAAAAAATCGGTCATGAGGAATTCAGAAGATTATAATTTCAGAGAAGACAAAGAATAGGTGCACCTGCGTCATTGCAAATGATTTCGAACCATGTCATTCAGGGTTTGTAATCATCGATTACTATCATCTCGCGGACCCCAACCAGATGGTAGTCTACATCTACCAACATGACTCAATCCACTTGTCAATGACTTCATGGATTTCTGCCATGTTTCGATATGGCCACCCCGTAGCTTTCTTCCAACCTACTCCTACACCACAAAAAATATCACTCATCGAGGCAGTCGATGGTTGGTTGGGTATACGTAGCACACTCAGTTATCTTACTATAACGACGATAATCATCATCAACTGTTAACTTTACTCACTAGTTAGACAGACTCACACTAAACTACTACTATTGAATAAAGTATCATTTTGATTGCCTATCGTATGTATACTTCATTAAAAAATATGACTCGTTCAAACTTGTTTTCATATTAAAAATACTGATATATTATTATTATTATTATTATTATTATTATTATTATTATTATTATTATTATTATTGTAGTTTATCGATTGCTGACCATTGTGAAATGAAATAATGACGATGATGATGATGAGTAGTATATTGAAAAAATGAATGACATTTTACAGTTTGAATAATTTAAATGTATACTCTGTGTAGTGTATACTTACTTACGCCTGTTACCCCCAATGGAGCATAGGCGGCCCACCAGTTTTTATCCAACACACATATATATATATATATATTTATAGACTTGCTATTAGTTTTGAATGAAATTAATGACTGACGACTTTTATATGGCCAAAATGAAAAAAAAATATTTTTTATGAAACGAAGTACATTCATTTAAGTTGTCAATTCATGTTTTCTAAATCTATCTATCTAAGCATACATTTTATCTGGTAATGCAATAAATTCTGGTGAAATATCTTTATCAATAAACGAGATAGAACAGAAATAAACTTGAAAAAACATTGGTGATTGAATGTTTGTAACAAATCGCATATATATATAACTAGATAGATAAATAGATAGATGGTAACCTATTGGGGATGTTAGATCCCCAAAACTCACTTGGTAAATGCCTTATTTTGGATTTCACGTTCGCCAGCATGGGCTGATCAGTTGACCGTGAGATCTCATTTCCCATCCACCAGGAACATCCATGGCTGTGATTGATTGGCTGCTGTGTATTTTAGTGTTCTATGTTCTTAACTGTCCCAAGGACGTTTCTATGATGTATAAATAAACCAGAGTTGTATGCTTGATTGTGTATTGTGATTGCTGGGTGTTTGTAGAATATACTTTCTACGCTTACAAAGCCTTGTTTTACTTCCGCTGAGATTCAAGGTAGCCTATCTGGATGCTGGTTCATTGTCTCGTTCGCGTTTATCGACTAAGTGACGAACATAATATTTGGCGACGGGGATGGGATCACTTTGATCCTTTGAGACTTGAATTATTACCCGAGCAGCAGCTGAACTAATGAAAATGTTGATGGATACCAAACTGCATCGTGACACAACTATGGTGGATCAAGTCAATCTGACATTGTGTATTGTATCTGTCAACTAACCAGAGAAGCTTTGACCCCTGCTACATCCAGTCTACCTCACTTCAGCTCAATCCGATAGCTGATCTAAAATCAATCTATTCGATCGGATCAAATTGCTAACATTATTAGTAACCCATCAAGCATATTAGAAGAAGCCAATCCGCTCAGAAGTACGCAAGACTTTTCTGTTCCAGAAACATCCTCCCCGACAGCAGCAACAACAGTCCAGATCCAATTAAACCGTCGTGTGTCGCTTCATTCTTCAGAAGGAGGTGTTAGGATATTCATCAAATATCCAAAGAGGATTATTGGTCAAATCCTATTGGTCGTTTTACCTTCAATGTCAAATACTTCAATGTTGTCTCTTATTGGTTGTCCTGACTATCAATGTCAGTTCAAATCTTGCTCCCTATTGGTCGTCTTAGCTGTCAATGCCACAAATGCTGTTTCCTATTCGACCGAAATGTATAAATACGCATTATCTGTAACATTTTATGACCATGAGCAGGACCAGGACGCCGTCCCAGATCCCTAGTCCGGTATCCTGATTCTCTTCTTGATTCGGACCTCGTACCTTCTGGATGCTTGTAGAATACAGGTTCTACTACATATCATGTCTTCTTATTTTCACTCAATATGGGGGTTAGGATAATCGGATTAGAGTATCATGTCGTGTCACCGGATCCTCGATCCTCGCTCTCATTTTCCGACTAGGTAAACTCGTAATAGTTCAAGTATATCAAGTTGACGTGTTTACGTGCAGGCATAACATAACCTCAAATACCCTGTTATGGCTAAGAGAGAAGAGAATTCGATATTCCTCCTGAAGTGCTGTCACATACCTATAGGTACTTAAAGCTATTGTCAGAAAAGTCTTGCTCACTGCCTACTAGTGGAGAGTATGTTATTAACGAACAGCGAATAGCTGACCGACGCTTTAACCTGGATTATAGGTACCAAAAATCTATGTCAGGAAGTTGAAAAATCATCATTACAAACCAGTGGTTATTATCAAAGGCTTGAGAAGTGGCCGTAGTAAAAAAAACCATCTATATAGGTTTTAGAAACTGGACAGTGCAGGATAATAATATGTAGGTGACCACTTGTACTAATATTGATGTACACTTTGAAATTATGAATCGATCAATTTTCGACCACTTTTTGAAATATAGAAGCACTGGAAGGTCGTTTCGTCCCGGTATTGAACTTATCAAAAGTGCGCACCTATTATTCCCACAACTCGCAGAGGCAATGAAAGCAGATGTAGAAGCAACTGCGAAAATATTTCACGTCCTCTTCAAGAAGATTTGGGATGAGGAACAAGTACCATCAGATTGGAAAGAAGAATACCTGATCAAACTACCAAAGAAAGGCGATCTCAGCAAGTGTGAGAACTACAGAGGCATCACTCTTCTTTCAATACCAGGCAAAGTCTTCAACAGGGTATTGTTAAACAGAATGAAGGACTTCGTAGACTCCCAACTTCGAGATAAGCAGGCTGAATTTCGTAAAAATCGATCGTGTACTGACAAAATTGTGGAACAATCAATTGAATGGAACTCACCACTCTACATCAACTTCATCGACTACGAGAAAGCATTCGATAGCGTGGATAGGAAAACACTATGGAGGCTTCTTTGACACTGGCTTGCGTGAGAAAATAGTTAACATCATACGAAACTCTTATGATGGATTCAACTGCAAAATTGTGCACGGAGGAGGACAGCTAACCGACTCTTTCGAGGTGAAGACCGGTGTCAGGCAAGGTTGCTTACTCTCACCCTTTCTCTTTCTCCTGGTGATCGACTGGATTATGAAGACGTCGACATCTGGAGTGAAACACGGTATCGACTGGACAGTTAGGACGATCTGGACTTCTCAGATGACCTGGCTCTTCTATCGCACACGCAAAAACAAATGCAAGAGAAGCCGACCAGTTTAGCAGCAGCCTCTGCAGCAGTAGATCTCAACATACATAAAGGAAAAAGCAAAAT